TTTCCTTGTCTTATCCCTCTATCAATATTATTGATCCAGTGTCATTTCTATGTCTTATCCCTCAGTTTATCAATATTATTGATCCAGTGTCATTTCCATGTCTTATCCCTCTATCAATATTGTCGTCTTCTAAAATCTATTATAAATATACACGGTCTTCTATTAGATATTTGTTATATAGTTTTGGCTCTGGATTTGTTTTGTTAAACCAAACTATTGGTGATAATAGTGTGTTTCTGTCTTGCTTTAAACAAAGACTTGTTGATTGTAAATATCAAGACTGTTGTCAACAGATACATGATTCGTCTCGTTATAATGCATTTAAACAATTCAAAGCTACGTTTAATGTTAAATCCTGAAAGATATTTATGTATTTATCTACCATTTTATGTAAGAAAAGCATTTGCAACATTCCGTTGTTCAAGTCATAGTTTTTTTTAATTTTTAAACTGGACGTCAGATTGGTCTTTCGTTATTGTCAATATTGTTATGTATGGTATTGTTATTGAAGATGAATTTCATGTATTCTTTAAATGTTACAAAATTTAATGTTGAATATTTAGATTTTTATTTTATATATGCAGTGTTCTGATGATGATAAAATAAGATTAGTTACATTTTTGTACAAGCCATTATGAAACAAAAAATGTATATTAATATTACACAACCTTAGACATATGATGTTATATTGTATAATGTAGTTGGGTAGGAGGCCTTCTTTATTACCAATAAAATTCGAATTGAAACTGGAATTGAATTTTATATAATGTTTTGTTTCCCTAAACAACATTATCATCTTAAATTTGTCAGTATGGTATCAGCACCCCAACTACTTATTTGAGTTGGGACATAAATGAATTGAAAACTGTCTATATTACAAGAGGGCAATGATGGCTCTTATCTTGCTCACGTAAGTATACATACAAGGAAGAATTAATATTGTAAACTATAATTTAAAAGCAGATATAAAGTCTTAATCTTAAACTGATACCATAAAAATCTTAAACTAATACCACAAATTCATATCTGCACCTGAAAATAAGGCTGCTATTGCTTAGATAAATCAATAGTTACTGTTAAATTAAAAACCAATTGTTGCTTGACAAACTCAATGTTTTTTCTTTTTTTCTCTTTTTTTTTTTTGGAAGCCAGTGGTTGCTATGAAAGTCAATGGTAGATTAACTCATTGCTATGGAAAGTCAACTTTTGTTATGGTGTCTACCGGCTGCTTTGTAAAAAAGCTAATGGTTTTGCTTTGGAAGTCAATGGTTGCTTTAGAAATTTACGGTTTGCTATGGAAAGTCACTGGTTGCTATGGAAATGAAAAAATACAAGTTTCTATTGAAAATGATTGGTTGCTATGGAAAATCAATTTTTGCTACGGAAAGTAATTACTTCTATGGAAAGTACTGGTAACTTTTGAAAGTCTGGCTACCACTTAACTCCTTTTTCCTACAGAGAGTCACTGGTTCCTAAGAAAGCCAAAAGTTGCTATGGAAATCACGGGTTGGTATGAAAATCACTGGTTGCTTAGGAAAGTCATTGGTTGCTTTGGATGTTAATGGTTGCTATGGAAAGTCAATGGTTGCTATTTAAGTCGCTAGTAACTTTGCAAAGTCAATGACTGCTATGGAATTACTTGCGAAGCAAAGTTACTTGTTGCTATACAAAATCACTAGTTGCTATTGGAAATGAATGGTTTTTATGCATGTCACTGGTTGCTAGGGAAATCAATACTATTATTGGAATTGAAGAACTTCTATTGTTGTTACTTGTTGCAATAGAAAGTCCTAGGTTGCTAATCAAGGCACTGGTTGCTATGGAAAGTCAATGTTTACTAGGAAAGCCACTGGGTGCTACACAAGTTACTAGTTGCTATGGAAAGTCAATGTTTACTATTGATGTCACCTGACAATATGCATATGACAATAGGGCCATGATATCCCTTATATCACTTATCTGACTTAAGGCTATTAATGACAAGCAACAATTAATATTTATACACAACTTGATTTTGATGTTTAATTGTATCCGACATTTACACAAGTTTATTAAAATGTATGTCAATCATTATCTTAGTCAAATAGAACACTTTAAATTAAACGTATTGATCAACAAGAGGCTTGCTTTATCTCCTGTTAAAATATTAGCTTTTTAAATGTTCTTACGTTTTCTAATATATCGTAACTTTAAAACTCCCCGGATAAAATGTAACAAAAATGTATACATGTATTTATAAAACATGAATTATCCTGGTGTTCTTTATGGTGTATTAATGATATTATTTCTTATTGTTACATACGAAATAAAAATGTTGTAGACAACAACATTGAACATAGTTTAGAATAGTTTATGAAGCAACATTTGGCATGGTGATATGTTGTTATATTCACGTTTCGTTTTGCACAAGAGTTTTACAAACCGCCAATAAATAACTTTCTTTTTTCATATAAGGAAGCTGTCCAGCAAGAATTTTAAACGTCGTTGTTTTTACTTAGGCGTCCGTCTGTGTTTAAATTAATGACGGATGTCTTCTCCACCAGAAAAGCCTCTATTTGAACATTACAATGTTTGTGTGACTTAAATCTTAACAAACCATAAGAAAATAAACAAACTATTTGTGTGTTCTTATGTATAGTCCGGATGTGTTATGACCAAATGATATGGAAATATATTTTCATACAAGTAAGAAAAGTTGTTCATTTCATTTTATATACATACACGCTGTATAATGTCCCACATTGGCCCAGACAAAAATAAAGTATGAAAATTAATAAACGGCAATCACTCAAAATTAATGAAGTACTTAGTACGGATTTTTGTGCACTGCACTTCTTCTCAATGAGATATATCATCCTATATATATGAAGTTTCAAGTCCATAGCTTTTATACTTAAGGAGAAATGGCCCGGACAAAAGTATGAAAATTAACAAAGGGCAAGAACTCAAAAAATAAGGAGTGAGGAGTAACAATTTTTGTGCACTGCACTTCGAGTCATTAAAAGGAAGTATGCATACCAAGTTTGGAGTCAATCTGACCTATAGTGACTTGAGTTATGATCCGGACAAAAATAAAGTATGAAAATTAACAAAGGGCAAGAACTCGAAAAATAAGAAGTGAGGAGTAACAATTCTTGTGCACTGCACTTCGGGTCATTGAAAAGATGCATGCATACCAAGTTTGGAGTCAATCTGACTGACCTTTAGTGACTTGAGTAATGATCCGGACAAAAATAACAAAGGGCAATAACTACAAAATCATGAAATACAACGTACCGGTTTACTGCACTTCTTCTCAATGAGATCTATCATCCTATGAAATTTGAAGTCCATAGCTTCTATAGTTTAGGAGAAATGATCCAGACAAAAATAAAGATAAGGGCAATAACTCAAACAAGAGGGCCATGATGGCGGCCCTGAGGTCGCTCACCTGTATATAGGCCCCCGGAGGGTGGCCAGTTTAAACCCAAGGGCTTTTATTTGAACAAACTTGGAAGACACACATAAGAAGATGTTTCATGATGTTAAGTTTTTACTACACACATATAATGAAAAACAATGATCTGCCCCGGCTCCCACCCCCGGCAGGGTTAATTTTAACTCCAGGGCTTTTATTTGAACAAACTTGGTAGACACCCATAAGAAGATGTTTCATGCTAAACATCTTAGCTCTAGCTCATTGGGTTTTTTAAAAGAAGATTTTTTACTATACACATATTATTAAGTTAAAAACAATGACACCCCTGGGGTGGGGCCAGTTTTGATCCCAGGGCTTCTATTTGAACAAACTTTGTAGATACTTACTAGAACATGTTTTCATGCTTAATATCTAAACTCTAGCTATTTGGGTTTTTTTCAAAGAAGATTTTTAAGTTTTTGCTATAAACATATAAGGAAAATCAATGACCCCCGGGGCAGGGCCAATTTTGACCCCAGGGCTTTTATCTGAAACAAACTTTGTAGACACTCACTAGAAGATGTTTCATGCTTCATATCTAAACTATAGCTATTTAAGTGTTTTTAAAGAAGATTTTTTTTTAAGTTTTTGCTATACACATATATTATAAGGAAAATCAATGACCCCCGGGACGGGTCCAATTTTGACCCCAGGGCTTTTATTTGAACAAACTTGGTAGACACCCATTAGAACATGTTTCATGCTAAATATCGAAGCTCTAGCTCTTCGAGTTCTTTAAAAGAAGATTTTTTAAGTTTTTACTATATGCATATAGGGAAAATCAATGACCCTCTGGGGCAGGGCCAATTTTGACCCCAGGGCTTTTATTTGAACAAACTTGGTAGACACTCATTAGAAGATGTTTCATGCTAAATATCTTAGCTCTAGCTCTCTTTGGTTCTTAAAAAGAAGATTTTTAAAGTTTTTACTATATGCATATTGGGAAAATCAATGACCTCCTGGGGCGTGGCCAATTTTGACCCCGGGGCTTTTATTTGAACAAAATTTGTAGACACTCACTAGAAGATTTTTCATGCCATACATCTAAGCTCTAGCTCTTTGGGTTTTATAAAAAGAAGATATTTAAAGTTTTTTTCTTTCGGTTGCCATGGCAACCAGTGTTCTGCATGGAATTAAATTCTTTGAACAATTTTTAAAGGTGACCACCAAAGGAACATTCCTGTGAAGTTTGGATGAAATTGGCTTAGTGGTTTATGAGAAGATGTCATTCAAAGTAAAAGTTTATGGACGGACGGATGCTGGACGAAAAGCAATCACAAAAGCTCACCTTGTCACTTTGTGACAGGTGAGCTAAAAATAAAAAGTGCAGAGTAACCATTCTTGAGCACTGTACTTTGGGTCATTGAAAGAAGCATGCAGTCAATCCGACCTATATTGAGTTATGTTCCAGCGAGCCTTAGGGGACTGCGCCTCAAACAAAATTCGACTTTTTCAAGGCGACACAATAAACAGGTTGGATTTTAGCAGTTCTGATTGATTTCAGGACAAGCAGGCAGATAGAAGTAACAAAAAGCAAAACAAACTCATTATAGATTTAATTTTTCTCATATTTGTTTTCTTCTTGTGAAATAAAAGTTCCAGATATTTCAATAACAAAAATCTATTAAACAAATCTCCGGTAAACAAAAGAGAAGGCTTGCATTAATTAGGAATTTCAACAAAATGTCTTCAATAAGATATTCAGATATCTAATCAAACATGGCAAATGCTGCTCCTTCTTTTTCTTCATCTTCCTCGTCTATGGTTTCCATGGAAACATAGTTAGATGACCTCGCTATACTTGTAGGTCTGTTCACTACAGGACTGTATGTCCATTTTGGAAACACTCTCTTGTACAGGTTCATTAAAATAGTGTCTTGTGACTTTAGCTGTCCGTCAAAAACACACTTCATATGTCCATGTGTTCCTGAAAAATACAGCACCAAATAAAGTAGTTATTTATAATCTAATCACTGCCTCATTGATTGTTGTAAAGCATCAGTATCAACTAAATGTATCAGAAATAAGTACACCAAACCAAATATTAAACAAGAATTTGTAACAGAGTTACCAACGTCCCCCGCCTCGGGGAAGTTTTATATGAAGCATAAAATTGTGCTATTTCAAAAGATTGAGGTATGGATGTCAGGACTTTCATTCCAAAATTATGATCAATGCTAAATCTACAAATGCAACAATGAATTAATAAAAGAAATACTAGTAAAATGAAACACGGAATGTAAAATTCTATCATGTTAACCTTTGACCTCAAATGGTGACTTTGACCTTGGAGGTAGGGGTGCAGGTGTTGTGCATGACATATCATCTAATTAATATTACTATTTGTGTCAAGTATTTTCAAAATCCCTTGAACTATGTAGAAGTTATAGATCGGACACAAAATATACCCTATAACAGACTATGTCAATCTTTGACCTCTAAGTGTGACCTTGGAGGTAGGGACCCATGTTTTGCGCCTGACATATCATCTTATTATTGTGATTATTTGTGCAAAGTATTTTTAAAATTCCAGGTTATGGACTGGACACAAAATATACCCTATTACAGAGTATGTAAATGTTTGACCTCTATGTGTGACCTTGACCTTGGAGGTAGGGACACATGTGTTATGCATGACATATCATCTTATCATTGTGACTATTTGTGCCAAGTATTTTCAAAATCCCTTGATCTATGAAGAAGTTATAAGACGGGACACAAAATAAACCATATAACAGACTCTGTTAACCTTTGACCTCTAAGTGTGACCTTGACCTTGGAGGTAGGGGTGCAGGTGTTGTACCTGACATATTGTCTTATTATTGTGACTATTTGTGCCTAGTTATTTCAAAATCCTGAAGAAGTACAAAATATACCCTAAAACAGAATACGTTATCTTTTGACCTCTAAGTGTGACCTTGAACTTGGGAGGTAGGGATGCAGATGTTGCGCACGACACATTGTCTTATTATAGTGACTATTTGTGGCAAGTATTTACAAAATCCTTTGATCTATAAAAAAACCTATGGACCGGACACAAAATATACCCTGTAATAGACTATGTTAATCTTTGACCTCCAAGTGTGACCTTGACCTTGGAGGTAGGTGACCGGTTGTTGCGCATGACACATCGTCTCATTATTGTGAACAATTGTGGCAAGTATTTACAAAATCCTTTGATCTATAAAAAAAGTTATGGACCGGACACAAAATATACCCTGTAATAGACTATGTTAATCTTTGACCTCCAAGTGTGACCTTGACCTTGGAGGTAGGTGACCGGTTGTTGCGCATGACACATCGTCTCATTATTGTGAACAATTGTGGCAAGTATTTACAAAATCCCTTCAAAGATAAGAAAGTTATGGACCGGACACGACATACATGTATACCATCAAATAGACAATGTTGACCTTGAATGAGCAAGTGTGACCTTGACCTTGGAGATAGAGGTCTGGTTTTTGCACATGACACATCGTCTTATTATAACAAACATTTGTGCCAAGTTATTTCAGATTCCTTCAATAAATGACAAAGTTATGGACCGGACACGAAAGTGTGACGGACGGACGGACAGACGGACGGAGCCTATTACTATATCCCCCTTTTTTCTTCGAAAAGGCGGGGGACAATAAATCATAACCCAAACTGTTTTTAATGGATTAAAATTTCAAACATGTTTCATAAATCTGGATGGTGTCACGCAGCTTTATGTCTAAGTCATGTATGGATATATTCCATCTATATTGGTGAAACACGTCGGGTCCTTACACGCAATATTTCACTCAAAATGCATTTTCAGGAACAAGCAGTATTACAAAAGTTTCACTAGTCTTTTACAATTTCATTATATGAAATAAGTAAGTGTTCCTGGGTGGGTTGGAACAATATGTAAATAATTCAAACAAACCCCTAATCCACTTAAATGAACTTGTCCAGCTTCCATTCTGGAATTGTCCATTATCATATTTAGGGGATATCTAGATATAAACTAGAAATGTGTCCATAGGACACGGATGCCCCCACACGCCCCTGTTCTGTCAATCTTATGACTCTAGATCAAATAATTTTTGGACTACATGTGCCACAAGTTGAAAACTAAAAATCAACAAAGGGCTATAATTCTGTTAAATTTAGTCGCAGCAAAGATTCCTTCCTTTACTACCATCTACACATAAAGGTTGTTCATCCCTGGAAGTTTAAGCAAAATCTGCCATCCGGTTTAAGAGGAGTTGCGTTCACAAAATTTCTACATAGTATATAGTGAAAAAATCAACAAAGGGTCATAATTCTGTTAAATTTGATCGCAGCAAAAATTCCTTCCTTTACTACCATCTACACATTAAGGTTGTTCATCCCTGGAAGTTTAAGCAAAATCTGCCATTTCGGTTTAAGAGGAGTTGCGTTCACAAAATTTCTACATAGTATATAGTGAAAAAATCAATAAAGGGCCATAATTCTGTTAAATTTGGTCGCAGCAAAAATTCCTTCCTTTACTGCCATCTACACATTAAGGTTGTTCATCCCTGGAAGTTTAAGCAAAATCTGCCATCCGGTTTAAGAGGAGTTGCGTTCACAAAATTTCTACATAGTATATAGTGAAAAAATCAACAAAGGGCCATAATTCTGTTAAATTTGGTCGCAGCAAAAATTCCTTCCTTTACTACCATCTACACATTAAGGTTGTTCATCCCTGGAAGTTTAAGCAAAATCTGCCATCCGGTTTAAGAGGAGTTGCGTTCACAAGATTTTGGGACGTACGGACGGACAGACGGACAAACGTACGGACACTCGGACGGACAAGTGCAATGCTATATGCTCCCACTCTGTGGGGGCATAAAAATAAGCCTCTCAGCAAACAGTAAAGTGCTTGGTCATACTGCACTAGCCCTGTACTTGCGGCAATGGCTAATTTTTCAGTTCAAATAGGTTAAGGGTTAAGCATCCTTTCCGAGATGACAATACAGACCAAGAGTCTGATTGAAACAGATGTAAAATTGTACATGTACTATAAATATATACCTAATGGTTCCTTAATATGACCTCTTCTTCCCCATTTTGTGTGTAATTCTACTGGTTTAAACCAGTTTATATCCTCTGAAAATATAAAGAATTGTTTCTGGTCACTAACATTGAATAAGAAATGATTTTTTACAATACAGTAGCAAATATACATGTAGTTGTACAAATGTTATTTTAGTTATTTGGTTATGTTACGTGTAACAATGTATGTTGACAATAAAACAGGTACGATGATCTATTACTTTAAATTCCTCATTAGACAATATAATCTCTCCCCTATTCATCTCCCATAAATTGTTCCATGTGACTGTTAATATCATGTATGTTTCACACTTTTCTTACTGCATTTTTACAACAATAGGGTATAGATTGGAACACTTTTAAAGTAACATCAATGATCCTTTTTCTTATATCAATTTCGAATTCTAACTATGATTAATTGACAAAAATTACAGATTTCTAATATCACTAATATCACTACTCTATATTAATGCACAGAACATACATAATTATGACAATAAAGGTCACACTGGACTTACCTCTATTAAAGAACATATATCTGACTACACAAGATTTCTTGTGAATCTTTAGAGGATGTCCACTAAGTACAGCACGTTTAACAACAGTTCTGTCTGGGTCTACTGATAATAAAGATCCCTTAGCAACCAATTCTATCTCACCTAAAATGTAAAATAGTGGTCTAAAATTTTCATTAACATGAAGGTGGGGGAAGTAGTGTTTTCCTTCATAACCCATGATGACGATACAGAGCTTTCATTCTATAAATGATATTAACAAACACAGGTAATTACAGTGTGACATTGAAAATGAAAAACAAACTTACACTTAGGTTTGAAAACATGTACATGACATTAACTATTATAAATTAGTTTTGTCTTAAATCATGCATCTGATTTTCTTTTGTCCATGATTTAAGATGCATCAAGGTCATATGGCAATTTTCCAGCTTGAGTGATAGAAGAAGACCTCAGGTGCCCCATTTGTCATTATGTCCTGCACAATCAGGATTGTGAGTAGAACCATTGGTAAGCTAAATGTACAGCTTTCTTATAGGGAAACAAGCAAATTGTAAAGATGCTTTAATTGCCTTGAAAAATAATCTTCTTATTTCATGGAAAGTTTATGGATTTCACAATTGTATAAAACTACCATTCAATAGAAGACAGGTGCTTGCAGTTAGGACAGCAATTACAGTAATTAAAATGTTTTATTTACCAAATGGTCTATCTTGGAAGACAAGTACTGGTGCTGGAGGGAAGGAGATTGGTGCAAATAATGTAGCAACAACAGCTGTGTCCTGGGGCATAAACCTCTCAAACTGTAATATAACATAAACCTCTCAAACTGTAATATAACATACACCTCTCAAACTGTTATATAACATAAATCTCTCAAACTGTAACATAACATTAACCTCTCAAGTTGTAATATAACATAAACCTTTCTCACTGTAATGTAACATTAACCTCTCAAACTGCATATAACATAAACCTATAAAACTGTTATATAACATAAACCTCATGAACTGTAATATAACATAAACCTCTCAAACTGCAATATTACATTGTCTTCAATAACATATTTCTTGAAATTATTCATCATCAAAAGAAACAAGTAAAGAGGTAATGGAATAAGCTAAAATCTTATAAGTAATTACACTGTATATGGTATAATACACAACTTTTTCAACATTAGTTTTACAAATGTACTGGGTTTTATATAACTGTACTTATCACTGAAGTGTGAGTGGGATGGAGTTTGTTTAAAAGTGGTAAAGATTGCTGATAATTGATACAAAATTTTCCAGTTTCTTTTTATGTTTTTTCTTTTTTTTGCTCTTATGATCCCCCTCAAAAGGTCAAAGCAAATTTTAAACTGTTCTATTAAAAGAGGTCACATGCAACAATAATGTAGCAGTTCTATCTTTTAACAAGATATGTTTGTAAAACATGTATGCCCCCTATTAGCAGCCAATTAGTCATGTGATAAGGTTATTATGCATGACTTCTGACCCAGTGATCAAACAATTAATAAGGGTTATCAAGTATCTACTGGTCATGACCTTGACCTTTGACCCCTTGACCCAAAATTCAATAGGGGTCATCTGCTGGTCACGACCAATCATCATACAAAGTTTGAAGTTCCTAGGCCTAAGCGTTTTACGTTATAGACCGTTTTTACCTACAAAGTCAATGTGACCTTGACCTTTGACCCCTTGACCCTAAAATCAATAGGGGTCATCTGCTAGTCATGACCAATCACCATGCCAAGTTTGAAGTTCCTAGGCCTAAGGGTTCTTTTATTATTGATCGGAAACCGTTTTAACATACAAGGTCAATGTGACCTTGACCTTTGACCCCAAAATGAATAGGGGTCATCTGCTGGTCATGACCAATCACAATGCCAAGTTTGAAGTTCCTAAGCATTCTTAAGTTATTGATCAGAAACCGTTTTTACTTACAAGGTCAATGTGACCTTGACCTTTGACCCCTTAACCCCAAAATCAATAGGGGTCATCTGCTGGTCATGACCAATCACCATACCAAGTTTGAAGTTCCTAGGCCTAAGGGTTCTTTAGTTATTGATCAGAAACAGTTTTTACCTAAGATGTCAATGTGACCTTAACCTTTGACCCCTTGACCCCAAAATCAATAGGGGTCATCTACTGATCATGACCAATCACCATATTAATTTTGAAGTCCCTAGGCCTCAGGGTTCTTTTGTTATTGATCGGAAACGGTTTTTACCAAAGAGGTCAATGTGACCTTGACCTTTGACCCCTTGACCCCAAAATCAATAGGGGTCATCTACTGACATGACCAATCACCATACCAAGTTTGAAGTTCCTAGGCCTTAAGGTTCTTTAGTTATTGATCGGAAACCCTTTTTGTTTACAAGGTCAATGTGACCTTGACCTTTGACCCCTTGACCAAAAATCAATAGGGGTCATCTACTGGTCATGACCAATCACCATACCAAGTTTGAAGTTTCTAGGCCTAAGAATTCTTTAGTTATCACTCGGAAACCGTTTTTACCCTAGAGGTCAATGTGACTTTGACCTTTGACCCCTTGATCCCAAAATCAATAGGTGTCATCTACTGATCATGACCAATCACCATACCAAGTTTGAAGTTCCTAGGCCTTAAGGTTTTTTAGTTATTGATCGGAAACCCTTTTTGTTTACAAGGTCAATGTGACCTTGACCTTTGACCCCTTGACCCCAAAATCAATAGGGGTCATCTACTGGTCATGACCAATCACCATACCAAGTTTGAAGTTTCTAGGCCTAAGAATTCTTTAGTTATCACTCGGAAACCGTTTTTACCCAAGAGGTCAATGTGACCTTGACCTTTGACCCCTTGATCCCAAAATCAATAGGGGTCATCTACTGATCATGACCAATCACCATACCAAGTTTGAAGTTCCTAGGCCTTAAGGTTTTTTAGTTATTGATCGGAAACTGTTTTTGCTTACAAGGTCAATGTGACCTTGACCTTTGACCCCTTGACCCCAAAATCAATAGGGGTCATCTACTGGTCATGACCAATCACCATACCAAGTTTGAAGTTCCTAGGCCTAAGGGTTCTTTAGTTATCACTCGGAAACGATTTGGTCTACGGACCGACGGACCGACGAACCAACGGACCGACGGACCGACGGACCGACAAGTGCAAAGCAATATACCCCCTTTTCTTCGAAATGGGGGCATAATGATACAGTCCGACCCCGGTTATTCGACAACCCTTTATTCGAATACCCGGCATTATCCGAAGTAGATCGGTGGTCCTGTTTTTATCTCTATATAAATCAATATAATTACAAACGTATTATTCGAAATGCATTATTCCAATACCTCCTATTTTCGAAGTAAAATTTCGGACCTGATTATACCAATGATGAAAGAATTTCACACCTAGTATTCGAAGCCAGACTAATTGGCGCAGATCCAATAACTAACTGCAAGCCGTTCGACTTGTGAAAATTTTAAAACAGTCATGCGTGTATATAGACAATCGTGATAATTAAACTTTAATCCAAAATTAACTAGAACTATCACTAAATGTGATTAATACCCCCACAAGACTGCTTCGGAAATGAGGATGTTACTAGTAACAAAATACCTTGTAAAAGAATTGAAATATAGAGTTATGGTTGTGGGCAATTAAAGATAGTTGTGGTTTTTATATGTTGCATTTCCTTTCAATGTGGTTTGCCATTGATGAAGTTTAATTGAATTACTCTGTAATAAATCCAGAAATACAAAGAAAAGGAACAAAGGGCAATAACTCTATAAATACTGAAGATAGAATTATCGTTCTTGTGCACTGCACTTCCTCTTATTGTGCTTGGCCATTGTATGAAGTTGTTTTGAATTCCAACCAGTATGTTTTGAGTTATGCTCCTGACAAGGAAAAGTATCAAAGGGCAGTACCTCTGTATTTTGTCAAAATGGAGTTATGGCTCTTGTGCACTGCACTTCCTTTTAATGTCCTTGACAACTGTATGAAGTTGTATTGAATTCCAAACTGTAGTTTTCAAGTTATGCTCTGGACAAGGAAAAGTAACAAAGGGCAATAACTCTGTAATTAGTCAAGATGTAGTTATGGTTCTTGTGTACTGCACTTTCTCTCAATGTGCTTGACCATTGTATGAAGTTATATTGAATTCCAACCATTAGTCTTCAAGTTATGGTCCGGACAAAAAAGGCAATGGAAAAGTAACAAAGGGCAATAACTCTGTAATTACTTTAGATATAGTTATGGTTCTTGTGCACTGCACTTCCCCTTATTGTGTTTGACAAATGTATGAAGTTGTATTGAATTCCAAACTGTAGTTTTCAAGTTATGCTCTGGACAAGGAAAAGTAACAAAGGGCAATAACTCTGTAATTAGTCAAGATGTAGTTATGGTTCTTGTGTACTGCACTTTCTCTCAATGTGCTTGACCATTGTATGAAGTTATATTGAATTCCAACCATTAGTCTTCAAGTTATGGTCCGGACAAAAAAGGCAATGGAAAAGTAACAAAGGGCAATAACTCTGTAATTACTTTAGATATAGTTATGGTTCTTGTGCACTGCACTTCCCCTTATTGTGTTTGACAAATGTATGAAGTTGTTTTGAATTCCAACCAGTAGTTTTCAAGTTATGCCCCGGACAAGGAAAAGTAACAAAGGGCAATAACTATGTAATTAGTCAAGATAGAGTTATGGTTCTTATGCACTGCACTTCCTCTCAATGTGCTTGACCATTGTATGTAGTTATATTGAATTCCAACCATTAGTCTTCAAGTTATGCTCCGGACAAAAAAATCAATGGAAAAGTAACAAAGGACAATAACTCTGTAATTACTTTAGATAGAGTTATGGTTTTTGTGCACTGCACTTCCCCTTATTGTGTTTGACAATTGTATGAAGTTGTTTTGAATTCCAACCAGTAGTTTTCAAGTTATGCCCCGGACAAGGAAAAGTAACAAAGGGCAATAACTCTGTAATTAGTCAAGATAGAGTTATGGTTCTTGTGCACTGCACTTCCTCTCAATGTGCTTGACCATTGTATGTAGTTATATTGAATTCAAACTATTAGTCTTCAAGTTACGGTCCGGACAAAAAAAGCAATGGAAAAGTAACAAAGGGCAATAACTCTGTAATTACTTTAGATAGAGTTATGGTTCTTGTGCACTGCACTTCCCCTTAATGTGTTTGACAATTGTATGAAGTTGTTTTGAATTCCAGCCAGTAGTTTTCAAGTTATGCCCCGGACAAGGAAAAGTAACAAAGGGCAATAACTCTGTAATTAGTCAAGATAGAGTTATGGTTCTTGTGCACTGCACTTCCTCTCAATGTGCTTGACCATTGTATGTAGTTATATTAAATTACAACCATTAGTCTTCAAGTTATGCTCCGGACAAGGAAAATGCAACGGACGTCTGGACCGACCGACCGACCAACCGACCGACCGACCGACCACCAGGTGACTCCTATATACCCCCCCAAACTTCGTTTTTGGGGGTATAAAAATGATACACCGTGTCGGTTTTTACTGTTATTGCTTGATTTGTTTGTTTCATTTTACGCCTTTTCCCCCCAACAGTTTTTCAGTCATATAGGCGGGTAGTTTCCTAACCATCGTTCCTGGAGAGTTACACCTGTTCTAGACTACCTTCCTCCGCTCTAAACTACAAAAGCATCTCCCGGGATTCGAACCCACGCCAGAGAGGTAACTGGATTAGAAGTCATCGACTCTAACCATTGCTTGAAGATGGCAGCGACAATTTTCATGAACCTCTTTATGTGCATTTATCAAAACATCCAGAAGATTTGTTTCTTCTTCATTGATTGTAACGCTACATGAGAGCCTTTACTCTAACCAAAAATACTAGAGTTTAGCTGTAAATACCGTAGTGACAACCAGGCCATTATCAAGATTTTGCACGAAACTAAACAATACATAATGTGAGTAAACTGCAAGTATTTATCTTCAATACCAATAAAAATTATTTTTACCCATCTTTTCATGAATATTTATTGTTCTCGATTAATTGCCGGAAACAAGTGTGTTGTGAGTGGTAGTTTTGCTATGACTGGCCAAAGTGGAGTAGTTTTCGGACATATAATATTTAATAAAATATTCGGATTTCGATAATTCAGACCCATTGTTTATTCGAAGAAAATTTTCAGTCCCCAACAATTCGAATAATCGGGGTTGGGCTGTATCTAACAAGTTGATGTAAACACACATAATTATGTATATCATTTATTTACACCAGATGAAGCTATGTTAAATGTAAAATATAAATAGCTGTAGGAATTATAAAACATACTTTGTGTTTGTTGCCATTTGTATGTTGAGAGAAAATTGGATTGGCTGTAAATCGTCTGCAACCAATGTGGAAGATAAGTTTATCCTTTGATTTGATTGGTCGACACAGGTCATGTGACTTGCGTAGAACTAAATTAATGACAGACATTTTCTGCTCATGTGGTAACAAACCAAATACAACAACTGGTGCACCAGTCTCATGTTTGTCTGTAAAATACAAAAAACATATTAACATTAAAACCTCCAATCAAACTAAGATAATCTCTATGTGTAATAATTTCTACAATAAATGAATTGTAATCTTGTCAAACTGATTTTAAAAAATTTATTAAAACTAATAATAAATTTCTGGAAAAAATCAAAACTAATGATTTTGTTCTGGAAAAAGGAACAATAACACCTTTCCTTGATGCACTGACATGTTCGAATCATTAATATACATGTAGTTTCAAACCAAAAACAGCACATTGTTCATACTGGTCAGTCTTTATGTGGTAAGTTATAATTCTTTAAGTTATAAATTTACCAGAATTTGTACTGGTACACAAAGTAAGGACTGTATTAACTCACCCATGAATGATTTAGGAACATTTGCTATATGTAACCTCACATATGTCCATGCCTGAAAGATAAAGTAACATCATCATATACAAAATTGAAATGAGTGTGTTTGGTTATACCATACTCATATAAAGCTGTTATATCAATGTTGACCTGTTACTTTAATTTATTACGTGATTTTCAGTGGACAGTGACTTTATATTTTGATAACTTAGCTGTGAATTTTCAATTTAATTATGAGTGTATTTCTTTATCATCTTTTAAACATTATTTTCTATTTTAGATGCATCACTTGATCTATGCAAGAATTTTAAAGTTCATGCTTTTAGGTCTTTTGACCTCAGTTTCATGTTCCAGACAAAATTCAAGTATGAAAAATAACAAAGGATAATAACTCCAAATTTATGCAAAACCAAATCTCATCTATAATAAAAAAGTACTATGCAACTATCGATCTATGAAGCTTTAAGTTGACAACATCTAAAATTGTAAAGTTATGCCCCTGAAAAAAAAATATATGAAAAATTACAAGGGCAATAACTCCAAATTTATGCAAAACCAATTCTGTTCTATGCAATGTATATCCATCGATGAAGTCCTCTTTAAATTGACAACTCCTATAATTGCTGAGTTATGCCACAAAAGTTAAGTATGAAAAATTACAAAAGACAATAATTCAAAATTAATGGAGTTATAAAGTTATGATTATAAACTTTCAGTTCTCAAGAACTAAAAAATATTTTTACCGCATTATAAATAAGATTTCAAGATGGAAGAACAGAACAAAAGTTTTGTTTTAAAATATTTACCAAGACACTATTATCAAGTTCCTCTTCTTCAATATCATTGTACAAAATCTTTCTTGTCATTCTTTTAAAATTATTAAACTGGAAAATTTTAGCATAGTCAAACGGCAGGTTCTCTTTTGCATCCCATGGTGATGAACGAAAACTTTTCAATCCACGATATCTAAAAATATAATTTATCAGTCATTGAATACAAATAGTGGGATGATGTGTACACATGTACAGGGTTAATTTATTAAGTTTAGAGGGTTAATGAAATAATTGAGCCGCGTCACGACAAAACTAACATAATTTGTTTGCGACCAGCATGGATCCAGACCAGCCTGCGCATCCACGCTGTCTGATCAGGATCCATGCTGTTCGCTTACCAACCCTATTTACAAGTAGTGAAACTGATAGCGAACAGCATGGATCCATGCTGGTCGCAAACGCACTATGTTGGTTTTGTCGTGACGCGGCTCATTTATTTACTCCTCTTAAAGGATTTTTAATGGCTTACTTTTAATGACTGTCTTTCTGAAATTGTAGTAACAATTCATTTAAATTCACACAAATGCAGAAAGCCAATAAATGTAGAGAAAATGTTCAACTTTATTCAAATTCTAAATGTAAATAAATTTTTTCAGCAATTTGGAATAATTAACCAATCTCTGGTTTTTTAGGCTTTGTGATTTATATCGCAGACTGTGCACAAACACTATGCATAGGAAGGTCACTGTGACCTTAATCTTTGACTTCATGACTCATTAGGGTCACTGTGACCTTGAACTTTGACTTACTGACTCATTAGTCACCATGACCTTAAACTTTGACTTATTAATTCATTAGGGTCACTGTAACCTTGACCTTTGACCTACTGATTGATTAGGGTCGCTGTAACTGACCTATTGACTCAATAAAGAACCTGATACTTATGATACAGTTTGCACTTAAATATAATTTTCAATATGTAAGGCACACTTACTTCTGAAATCGTGTACGTGCAGGAAGATCTTGTGGTGTATCTATTTCATCTGGGAACATAACATGTTGTCTCTCCTGCTTTAATTTGGCAAATCTAAAAGTAAGAAACAATGTTAAACATGACAAAAATATTTAATATTTAACAAGAAAATGAGGGTTAATGCACCTTTTTTGTGCATTAAAATCTGCTGAAGCACAAGTATGCATTAAAACCCTGAACTATATGGAAAGAGGTTTAATAGGGCACAAAAAAAATGCAATAGTGCTATTCTTGCATAAAAGTATATAAGTAATTTCACATTTCATTATCTGTATTTCCTTAAAAAAACACAATATTTTGCCATGCTTTCCACGCGCTAGTGCAATGCCATATGCCATAAAAATTTCCTATCCAATTATGTACTTTCTTGCACAATTTTTAATGAAGAATATGGTTGATTGACAATAATATGAATATAAATGAGTTAAAAATGGTACTTACACAGACTGTTCTTCTGCCAAGTCCATCTGCTCATCATATTTCTGGTCTTTATCTTCTCCTACAGTAACCTAGAGAATGTTTGTGAACAAAATGTTTTATATTGTTAGAAACCTGTCCATTACAGTGTGACCTATTTAATGTGATTATTCATCAATATAGGCGGTGATTATATACATACATCAAGAGCTCAGTTGGTTTTATATACACTTCAATATTTATGGTGATTAAATAATGTACATCAATACCTTAAGTGATTTTATATGTACATTAGTAATATAAATGGATTATATATGTACATAAATTTTTTAAAATTATTATAAATGTATATCTAATTGTTTTTGTTTTGGTTGGGTTTTACCCTACACCAACACAGTATAGGTCATATAGCAACTTTCCAGTCCAGCTTTACTGGTGGAAGAAGACCTCAGGTGCCCCTCCCTGCACTGTATTTCAGGCAAGAACAAGCACCTGAGTAGAACTACCAACTTTTCATAAACTACCTAGATAGCTTCCTCACATGACAGGATTTGAACTTACAGTGGTGAGTGGCAAGTTGTACAACAATATTCAAGGTATTTATATATGTACATCAATATTCAAGGTAATTATATACATATACATCTATACATGTATATCTATAATATATGTATAAGGACATTACAAAGTAAATTAGAATCTAAAGTAAAGTTAGACTGGTGAATATGGTGTTTGCTTGTCTAACTATGGGCCGATGACCACTACTAAAATGTAAACCATATTTCCTCCACAGACACCAGTATTGATAAAACAGAAAGTTGACTCACAATCAAATATGTGTTAAACTTATTTATATGTGACGTAAGTATACTTACATCTTCATATTCCTCCTCACTTTCTGATAAAATTACACTCTCATCATCATCATCATCAACATCATCATCATCATCATCAATGGCTGCCATCTCTGCATCATTATCATCATCATCATCATCATCTGCAGGACCCTCCTGCAATCAATTTGTGGAATGAAAAATTAGAAGCATAAATTGTTAAATCAATACAAACAGGCGCTGTTTATATATACAACACTGAAGCGTCCACATGCCATATGAAAGCTACTATCCCACACATTGTAGTTTGGACGATTTTTAAATAAAATGTCATTAAAAGATAAAATTTCATCACAGGCTCGTACTTTTCTATGGAAGGAGATGGTTAAAACATGTCTTGTCCGACGAAATAAAATCTGAGTCATGGTTTTTGCAATGTCTATCATGCTGTTATTTCAAAACGTAATGTTTTATTGTGTAAATATTGACTTAAATTATAAACACATTCGTTTACTTGTTGCAAGTAGATTTGTTGGTTGCGGGTGGAACAGTTGTTCATTTGGCAAGATTTTTATCCTGCAATCGAATGCTTCACAATATATCATAGAAAATTATGTCTATGAAAAGAGACAAAAAAGAAGAATATTTATCTTGGTAATCAAGTTCAAAACTGATACATGTATATATATAGAAAGTTCTACCTGCATCAAGCTGTCCTGCTAACTACATGTTCACAGGTGTGATAAATGCAGTGTTTATAACTGTGCCAAATGAAACATAACAACCATTAGGTAACAGTTATATTGTGGAAATTGCAAATTTTTATTTGTATGCATATTAAAATTAATCACTGTAAACAATTATGTTGATGTTTTTAGACCCATTTCGTGTGGGAGAGTAGCTTTAAGGTAAGTAGATGGGTAAAACTTGTGTCATAGGCAATACTGTGTTCTGTTAATCTTATCAGAATGATGTTTAACTTCCATGATTCAAGACTTATCATGCATACACAGAAACCTTCAGTTCGGACTCCAAAACAACAAAGACTATCTGCTGATAACAGGTAACTACTGTATGAACTTTGACCTTTGTAGGTCAGGTTATTCTCTTAATATGGTAAAGGTCACAAATAAGACCTTTTAGATACTTTGTTCAACAACAGTTGAATAGGGAAGGCCTGAGTTGCCCCTTTTGTGCATTATTTCAGGCAAGAGCATGCTGACACACAAGTAGAACCAACAACTTCCAGTAAGCTAGCTTGATAGTTTTCTCACATGAATGAATCAAAAGTCCCTAATGGGATTCAAACCAAAAGCAGTGATAGGCATTTAACATGAAGCCAGTAACTTAATCATCAGCCATTGTGGCCTTTCTTACATTTAACCCTTGACCTGCTATATTTCCATAATGGATCTGTCCAGCTTTGAATTTAAAACAGTCCATTCAAAGTTCAAGGGATTTCAATATCAAACTATACAAAAACTGAGCTGCCAACAGTATAGAGCCTGGTCAGACTGCACGGATGTGCAGGCTGGTCTGGCTCTATACTGGTGGCAAAGACTTATCACTTGGTTCTAGCAGGTTAAAAGTAAAACCATTATTTCTACACAGATTTTATACCTCATCTTCATCGTCTACAATCCAGAAGGCCTGATAATCAGAAGTTCCTTTTGGTACCCGCCTTGTCACCTTTTCCTGTTTCCCTGAATAATATTGATATTCATTAGATTATATTTTAACAAGAGCTGTCCATAGGACAGTTGCTTGACTATTCTCAGTGCTTGGAAGCAAAACAATATCCTTGATAAGGTAGTATCTTCTCAGTTCAAGAAGTTAAATCTTTGTCAAAATTCATGTTAAGAATTATGGGCCTTAGGGAGTGTACACCTATTAAGCTCTCAAACAAGTGTATGAAGTTTCAAACAATTCCCCTCAATTGTTTTTAAGATACTATCTTGCATGCAAAACCTTAACCAAATTGTGACGCTGATGGCAGGAAAGTACAATAGCTATCCATATTCATCAAATAGTCATGTTAAAAATTATATATACATGTTACAATTATTCTGATGTAAACTATTTCAATCCAAACATGAAAGTTAATAATATTAACCCTTTTAATGCTGAATTTCTTAAATGAAATTGTCCAGATTCCTTTTTTGGAACTGTCCATTCTCAACTTCAGTCAGACAGCATGAATGCAAAGGCTACAAATTAGCAATAAGAAAAACAAATACTGCACAAAGGTCTCAAACTGATGAGCCTGTAAACCCAGTACTCCCTTGATTAAACTAATAATAAAGGCTTCTTAAACACAAGAATCATTATTATATAATACTACCTTCAGCCTCAGCAAGTTCTTCCTCAGTTGGCCAGGTTTGTTCTCCCTCCATCGGGTCAGGAACGACCTCGCTTTCGAGGCTCTCTAGTTTACTGGTATCTGGCTTCAGTACTGACATGGCTGTTACTTTCTCTGGTTCTTCCATCATCTCATAATCCTGATATTGTTACATTAGCTTTATGTATCATTTTATCTAAATTGTTGCCTAGCAACAATAAGTTAAGATATTAAACATTCTTTTCTCAGCATATAACAAAAACACTAAATGTGGTGTTAACACTCCTTTTGTTAAGGGCAACTAATATCGATAATCAATTTTGACAAATTTTCTAAGTTTAAAAAGTGGACATAACTCCAAAAATTATAGCTTTCAGAATTCTGCCCCATGCCTTACAACTACATATTCCACGTTTTATAATGATAATTTTTTAAATGTTTAAACATAAGTCTGTACATAAGATTATACAGAATTTACTTTAGTTCAATTGTGTAAGCAGCTATAAGCTTATTTATCAAAACACCCTTGAATCTACTAACCAGTACTGAGAATTAAGTGGAAAGTTTCTTGCTGAAGGAAACAACCGCCTGCCCCTGACAGGGTGTGAGCCCATGCAGCAAGCGATTCTTAGATTACTTGTCCGAAATTTTAACCACTAGGCCATGCATTGGCTCGCTAGGCTAAATACATGTACTGGTGGTTTTGTCAATACTGGCACTTACAGAAAAACTGGGAAAATATAACTTACTCAATGCAAATAACATGAAAATATGTTAACAAATTCAATAAGTAACTAACAAATACCTGTGAATCACCAGCCTTGTGTTTGTGTTTATCTGATTTTGTCAGTGGGTGGGGATCATCTAGCACATCTATCTGTGACAACTGGAAGTCACCCAGTCCACTTATGTGTACCAGTCTATTTACAGACATTGACTGACCTCTAACATAACCAGTCAACTTCAAAGTGCCCTCTGTTTCCTATTAAAAATATCATTAAAATATTATATTTTAATCTCTCTCAATAAAAAAAAAACACGCTCTTGCATAATTACATAATACTCCAGTTTAAAGCTATAAACAATGATGGAATTTTTATCTTAACTCTAGATATGTCACTAACAGTTGAGGGGGTGTCCATGGCCAAGTGGTTAAGGTCTTTGATTTTACACCACTTGCCTCTTACCACTGTGGGTTTGAATCCTTTCAGGGATTTTGGATCCTTTCATGTGAATAAGCTATCCAGCTAGCTTAGGGAATTTTGGTGGTTCTACTTATGTTCATTTGTGCCTGAAAAAATTCACTGACGGGCACCTGAGGTCTTCCTCCAAAATATAAAATAATGAACAGATTTAAAATTCAAGAATTGTAACATATCACTAGTTTCAACAAACAAATGGTACTTGTTGACCTAACTGGTGGATGGCCTTCTTTTCCACATGCTATTCCCCAAATTTTGTTATTAAATAATGAAAAAATAACAAGAGGGCCATGATGGCCCTGAAGTCGCTCACCTGTATATAGGCCCCTGAAGCGGGGCCAGTTTAAACCCCAGGGCTTTTATTTGAACAAACTTGGTAGACACCCATTAGAAAATGTTTCATGCTAAACATCTAAGGTCTAGCTGGTCAAGTTATTTCTTTACACATTTAGTTAAAAACAGTGACACACCTGGGGCGGGGCCAATTTTGACCCCAGGGCTTTTATTTGAACAATCTTTGTAGACACTTACTAGAAAATGTTTCCTGCTTAATATCTAAACTCTAGCTATTCGGGTTTTTTCAAAGAATTTTTAAGTTTTTGCTATACACATAATATTATAAGGAAAATCAATTTACCCCGGGGCGGGCCCAATTTTGACCCCAGGGCTTTTATTTGAACAAACTTTGTAGACACTCACTAGAAGATGCTTCGTGCTTAATATCTAAACTCTAGCTATTTGAGTTTCTTCAAAGAAGATTTTTTAAGTTTTTGTTATACACAAATAAGGAAAATGAATGCCCCCCCGGGGCGGGGCCAATTTTGACCCCAGGGCTTTTTTTTTAACAAACTTGGTAGAGACTCACTGGAAGATGTTTCATGCTTAGTATCTAAACTCTAGCTATTTGTTTTTTTTCAAAGAAGATTTTTTAAGTTTTTGCTATACACATATAAGAGAAATCAATAACCCCCTGGGGCGGGGCCAATTTTGAACCCAGGGCTCTTATTTGAACAAACTTGGTAGACACCCATCAGAAGATGTTTCATGCTAAATATCTAAGCTCTAGCTCTATGGGTTCTTTAAAAGAAGATTTTATTAAGTTTTTACTATATGCATATAGGGAAAATCAATGACCCCCTGGGGCGGGGCCAATTTTGACCCCAGGGCTTTTATTTGAACAAACTTGATAGACACTTATTAGAAGATGTTTCATGCTAAATATCTTAGCTCTAGCTCTTTGGGTTCTTTAAAAGAAGATTTCATAAGTTTTTACTATATGCATATAGGGAAAATCAATGACCCCCTGGGGCGGGGCCAATTTTGACCCTAGGGCTTTTATTTGAACAAACTTGGTAGACACCCATTAGAACATGTTTCATGCTAAATATCTTAGCTCTAGCTCTTTGGGTTCTTTAAAAGAAGATTTTATAAGCTTTTACTATATGCATATAGGGAAAATCAATGACCCCCTGGGGTGGGGCCAATTTTGACCCCAGGGCTTTTATTTGAAGAAACTTGATAGACACTCATTAGAAGATGTTTCATGCCAAATATCTAAGCTCTACCTCTTTGGGTTTTTTAAAAGAAGATATTTTAAGTTTTTTCTATCGGTTGCCATGGCAACCAGAGTTCTGCATGGAATTAAATTCTTTGAACAATTTTCAAAGGTGACCACCAAAGGAACATTCCTGTGAAGTTTGGATGAAATTGCCTCAGCGGTTTATGAGGAGATGTCATTTAAAGAAAAAGTTTACGGACGACGGACAGACGGACGCCAGACGAAAAGCGATCACAAAAGCTCACCCTGTCACTTTGTGACAGGTGAGCTAATAAAAAAGCTTCTGAATCCTGTATAGAAATGATTTACATTAAATCCTATCAAAGGCTTGAAGAATTTACCAATATTTAATGTGTACAGAACGTCACTACGACTTGAAAAACAGGCTGAACACAAATATTTGGTTACTTATAATGTAATTGGACATATTATATACAATGATCATAGTTAAATCCTTAATAAGAGGTAACTGTACAAAAACAATTTGCCAACAATTAACTTACTGAATCTTGATTCAATTCAAACTGGATATGTTCGGATAATAGATGTGGTCTATTTTCTCTGTAGTGAATATTTCTCAATTTCTGTGAGGTCACATGACGTAAAACTAGCATACAATCTTGTTCTGAGTCTAGTGTATGTAACTTATCATCTGGAAACCTAAAATAAAGGGAGATAATAGAGATTGATTCATTTCAATAAGGCAGGTATCATACAGATTTAATTCTTTATAAGAGAAATACTACAGATTAATTTTAATAAAAGGGAAATAATGATATTTTAGTACCATTAAAAATGTTTTTAAAAGACATTTTTCTAATTCACCAGAAATTTGAGGGTAAACTGTCAAAATATATAACTACACAACCCATTAGGAGTAGCATCATAAGTGGGTGGCAAAGACGAGAGATGATGCTCTTGACATGTATAATCTACAGTAGTAAAATGTTCAGTCCTACCAATACTTCCAGAAGGTTTTTGTCCCTGTTGTTGTGAAGAGGTTGTGTTCATGTACAAAGATAAGTGAAAATCTTTTCAAAGGTGCATAATAAAAAGCTATTCAAGATTAACACATTATTTTTTTCAGCTGTGGCCATATTGGAAACTAAAACTGACCCTGGTAATCTGTGAATTTCTCTGATATGTTTGAATAAATTTGATACAGGGTGAATGGAAATTAAGATGAAGCTTTAAGATGACCTATACATTAGTTATTTACAAGTTTCAGTATGATTAATTTATGCTCAACCATCACTTACCATTTTTCAACAGTTTTTTGCAGGAACTTTTTTACTTCTTTCTGTTTCTTTGGGGGTAAATCTTTCAAACCCTAAAATGTAAACCATTAACCATTCAAGGAATTTCTGAACATTATTTATTCTCTTTCTTATAATTGTTTGAGTCAGATATTTACTAAAAAAACAATTTTTTTTTCTATTTAATGCTTTTATAGTGGCTTTTAGTGATATACCCTGATTTTGCTACGTAAAAGGCAAGCTCACTAATGCCCAACGTCATCAAATTATAATGGCACTTTGCTTTTGTTGATTAAATGATTCCATAAAAAAACAAGAGCTGTCACAGGAGACAGTGAAGCTCGACTAATAAAATACTGGACGCAGTAAGGAGGACAAAACTACAAATGTATGAAAGAAAAATCAATTATGTATAATTATGTATTCAGTTATAGAAAAAAAAAAAACATTTGTTAACATAAATTCCAAGGTCAAGGGGAATAATTCTAGAAATAGTCACGCTAGAGTTATTAACCTTGTCACACAACAGGTGTGTAATGATAAGAAATATATATTTGAAGTTTGAATTAGATACCTTAAAAAGTAAAGAAGTTATAATATTTCTTAAAGAAAATCCTAAGTTCAAAGAGAGATAAATCTGTAAATATTGCTTCAAGAGTTATGAACATTGTCACATAAAATGTAATTGATGATAAGGAATAAGTATTTGAAGTTTGAGGTAGATACCTTTAAAACTAAAAAAGTTATAGTAAAAAATTACATTTTTCTAGTAAAAAAATCTAAGTTTATGGGGAGATAATTCTAGCAATATTGGTGCTAGAGTTATGAACCATGTCACATAAGATGTGGTTGATGATAAGGAACATTTGAAGTTGATACCTTAATAAATGAAAAAGTTATAGTGAAACATATATTTTACTGCACTAAAACTTTAATCTGCAAATCTGGATGTGGACGCCGACGCGGGGCGTTTGTTTTTTGTTTTGGGGTTTTACGTCACATCGACACAGTATAGGTCATATCGCGACGTTCCAGCTTTACTGGTGGAGGAAGACCTCAGGTGCCCTTCCGTGCATTATTTCAGGGCTGCATAAACTGGCACCTGAGTAGAACCACCGACGTTCCGTTAGCTAGCTGGATAGCTTCCTCACATGAAAGAATCCAAAGTCCCTGTCGGGATTCCAACCCACAGCGGTGAGGGGCAAGTGGTTTGAAGTCAACAACGTTAACCACTCGGCCACGGACGCCCCATGACGCCGGGCGAGTAGGACAGCTCTCCATATACTTTGTATAGTCGAGCTAATAAAAATTTTGTTACATTTTTTATTATAATTTGTGCAGATTTCATGTGCCACTCATAATTACCCACATTTTACTTTTGTTGGAGTTTATTTATGACAATATTTTCACTGAGTTTAAATTATGATAATTAATTTCTTTTCATCTGCATTTAAATCAAGTGTGAAAATTATATTTTGTAATAAATATATTACTGTGAAATAATTAAAATATAAATTCACTGTCAACTGAAATGCATTAATATTGTTTTATAAAGTAGTTCACCTACAGATATACTGGATAATTGGATATTTCCGTGTGTCGAAAATTTAGTGAATTTAAAATTCCAGCATTTCGCAGAAGGAAATAAGCAAATCTTTCCAGGGTAGAATTTAATGACATGTTTGTCGCCAATTCTCAAAATTGTCCTATATTTCTGTGTCGCTAACTTAACCACTTATACAGTACATAAATACATGTGCTTTATCATGTACAAATAATTTTGAATTATAAATGTCTACTGATCGTGATTATCATCATTGTACAAATATTCGTTTATTTGTTTTTTATTTGTTAATTGTTTTTGCCATAATGATATACTGGTATATTAATTGGCCAAAGGCAAATTGCTGAATGCCAATAAACTTTTGAAGTAAATATTTTACCTGTACAACTAGTGTAACACTAGGTAAACCCTGACCCATCAAACAGGATATACAACTCTCTCCAAATCTATCGAGTCCCGAGTCTGGTGACATGACAAACATGATAGAATCAGCCATCTTGGCCACGTCTAATATACTGTATAAGTCTCCATGTTTAACTGTGACAAACTCTACACGCTGCTTAAATCTCTGGACACTGTAAGAGAAAAGAATTGGCTATGATATCACTGTTTTGAATACATATGTTAAAGGTCATATCATATATTTTTAATCACATAAACTAGGGTAGGAGTGAATTAAAGCTGTTTAATAAAAATGATATTAAATTAGTGTAATAACACTTTGAAATAACGTCATTTGTTCTATATATATAAACATAGCATTAAAGTGAGCTAATGTTAACATTACACTATAGGCATGTCAATGAAAATGACTCCTTTTAACAGTTTACCATTCTTATTTTTTGTAATAAATAGAATATTCTACTCGTTCAATAAATTTTGTATTAAAGACTCATTCAATATCCTCTATATATCTTACTTGTAGTAATAGATCAAAGCAGTTTTTTCATTGCATCAGGCATACATAAGCGCTTGTGTATAAATCAAAACCTTGTAGAAACTAAATGTATAGCCTTTTGACATGTATTTATACTCACAGCAGTAAAGTGCAAGTAGTTTGACATTATTTATCAATGCATAGTCAAATGTATAAAATACTAGTAACAACATCTTGTTGGAAAAAAAATATCTCCGTCATTTGGTCCTAGCTCCTACATTTTTTATAATTCCAGCATTTATTGTGTCCTATCTACCAAGTGCAATTCCAGTTACATGAAATGTGTAATTCAACTATTTATTTTTCCCTACCTGACATGTGTAATTCAAGAATTAATTTTGTCCTACCAATGTTTTTTTACATACATGACAAGTGTAATTCCATAGCCTAGTATGTCCTATCTGACAATCGTAATTCCAATGTTTATTTTCTCTTACCTAACATGTGTTATTCCTGATTCTGTTTTAGATGTTGCAACTGATTCTGTACAAGATGAGATCTTCTCTACAATGTTTGATGTTGACACCTCAGCATGTAGGGGAACAACCAACTATAATACAAGAAAATCATTTACATACCTTAACATCAGTAGTCATTATAGCTTCTAGGGATATTCCTTAAGGACAACTGGCTTTTTTAGACATCATATCAACACTGAAATATGGTAATGTTGTAACTTCCTATCTAATAAAGATAATTTTACAAGTAGAGAAAGGCCTGAGATGTCCTGCTTACAATTTTGCAGAACCCAGCACGTTACTGTCAAAGAATGTGTGGGAGACTAAAAAAGGTGTCAGAACACCACACTCAATACCGTATTCCAAAATATACCATACAATGCGATTGATTGATTAAATGCTAAAAACACATCTTTTCACCTGCCAAAATGCACTTTCAGACATGTAATTCATATCTTCACACTAATTTATATATGATAATGAATGACAAATGTAAAAATCAGCCAAAAAGTAATATTTTTCTACTTTGTGATCATGTAAGCATCTAGAGGTACTGCTCCAACTTAATACTTAAATACTTACACAGCAATGTGGAGGAGTACCAGACACACCAACATTACGTTTTCTAGAAATAGCCTCATCTCTCTTCTTCTTCCTTAACTGTACAGCCTGTATAATATAATAAACATTGTACGGTCTGTATAATATAACATTCCTTGTGCAGCATGTAAAATATAATAAACATTGTTTCTTTGTAACTGACAGATGCATGTCAGTTAAATATATAGCATTAAGAACTGAAATGTGAGAAATGATTATAGAATATCAAGGAAAACATATGCATGCATTATAGAGATTTATGTAGGTAACTAGTTTACCTGATGTTTTCTATCATTTTTCCTCTGAACAGTTACTGCTTTCTTTGACAAAACTTTAACATTCACTCTACCTGCAAATACATGTAATAAGAAACTATGATTTTATCTATATCTTATATAAATTAAATTGCAAAAGCAGTGATTTTTCTCACTTACATGTAATTGGGAAGAGGCCTTAGCCACTTGATTTTGGGAAAAATTATCACTAAAATTGCTAATTTGGGAAGTAAAAAAACAGGTTTAACTTCAGATTGTTGGGAGAACTGCATGTTTTTTTTAAGAAAATTTCAATTGGGAAGAGGCCTTTTATAGAAGTCTGTTATCTAAGCAGGAAAATCACTGGAAAGAATTAATTCTTAAGTCAGAGAGTTAAGTCTCACTCACTGATCAGATTTCTCAAACTAAGAGACATCAAAACTATTTTTGGATGTGAAATGTCTTTTTCCAAAAAACCTTCCATGGTTTGACAGTATGAATAAAGTCTGTAAAGCACAGAACTGTAGGTAAAACTGTTTGCGTCTTATTTATTACATTCACTACCCAGTCACTGATAGAGGAAAGAGATGCCGCTGCATACCTTGTGATACCTTGTGATGTATGGGAAACATTATTAGTCTCCTAACGGACTATCATTCCCCTCAAGTTCTGTTTTCTTGTCGTCCGCTCCGGTATTGGTTTATTCAATAAATATTGTCAAGTTTGAATCTTTTCCACTGCCAGTGTATATATCTAATTTTATTTTATTTAACCTCATTTACATTCTTGGATAAAACGTTTTCACTGGGAAGTAGGTTCCATTTGTTTACGACTCTATAAGGGAAGGAATTTTGTCATATTGCCTTTATAGCAGACATGGGGTAATTGTAATTGGTAATTTAATTTAATCGATTACAATTTTTTGAGTAATCATAGTAATCAGTAATCATAATTTTTTTCCTGTAATTTAATCATAATTTAATCAATTACATGACCAATTAGTCAGTAATCACAATGATTACATGTATGATTACAATACATGTTAAGCTAAAAAAAATTGCTGAACAAACATACATATAAAGGTTAAAAAAGTACCAGTGTCAATGTCTACTAATTGTCTTAGGTAGTGTAGGTGAATTAAATGCAGTCACCTAACACCCGTGTTTTAATAAGTTGATGAAAAGATCACTGACAGATTGACCCAAGACATAAATGATTGTCACAATTATACCACTTAAATTTAGCTGTGAAATTATAACAATGGCCTGGATAGGTATATTATCACTTATTGAGAAGACTTAACAGGTTCAGTAAAGAGCAAGTATAAGCTGCAATTACTGACAAAAGTGAGATATGGTTATATTTTCTGTTACATTTTGGTATTGTAAGTCCATGTAGAAGCAAAAAGTACAAAAAGATTTTCATCATATCGAAAAGAAAGCAATACCCAAGCAAATTGGCCGGAAATATGCCTGCTGTTTTTAAATACTTCATATTGCCAGAAAAAATTCCTGATGATGGCAATGTGAGAGCTAAATGCACACTTTGCGTTTCATATATATCAGGAAATGTTCAGAGAACATCAAACTTCATTACACATTTGAAGGTAAGGTTATTAATGGTTTTTTTCACAGAACAAGCTGCAAATTTATATAAAAATGTTTTTGTCTTGCATTAAAATTAAAACTCGGGTATGATATTGTTGAATTGAAATTTGGCGGTGTATGACAATTTCTCTGCGTTCTTTTTCACTGTGTACATAAATTGTGTTTCAGCGTTTACATCCCAAAATTAGAAGACTGAATTAACCCTTTCCCCCATGAGCATATTGTGAAAAATGGCCATTTTCACTGAAAAGCCTCCTCTCACAAGTTCAAACTGCTATGAAACTATGAAAAATGCTTCAATACTAATCAAACTTGGCACAAATGTTGACTGGACCATTGCCTTTGTAACGACATGCTCAGTCTTAAATTTCCTGTTACCATGGCAACGAGGGGACATCTCAAAATTGCCAAAAATCACTTTTTTGCCTCGATTTTTTCCATCAAAATTTATTTCAAAGTGCTGCAACTTCTCAAGGGATTGAGATAGAGTCAAAGGCTTTTCAGCGTTGGTTACACGTTATCTTATGATCGACCTGGGGTCATTTAAAGCCTCTCACAAGTCCAAAATTTTCTTGGCGATGAGGGGGACTCCGCCCCCCTTCAAACCCCCCAAACAGAAGGGGGCACATCCCCCTTCTGGCAACCCCCTGATGTAATATTTGGATGGGGGACGACGCCGAAAAAATGGTCAATTTTTTTAACAACATTTCCCCAAAGAAAAACAGTGTTTGGGGCCTAAATAGGGCATTTTTTCACTGTTTGAGGCCTCAAAAAGGGGGGGGGGGTCAAAAAGCCGTCGAAACACGCTTATATAAGGGAAAAGGTTAATTACTGTAAAACTATGCTGGATTATTTTTTTGTACATTTGTTGTATTGAAATGTTCAATAAAACGATAGTGTTGAACCATTGCATTTCTTAACTTATGTACATTTAATCAGTAATCATAAATGTAATCTGATTACTCCTGTCAGTAATCAGTAATTTAATCAATTACAATGCGGTATAGATGGATACTGAAAATAAGCTATTTTCGCGAAAATAAGATCGCGACTACGAAAATAAGATTTATTTTTTAAATAGTGCATTTATCTGTTGAAATAATTATGTAAGTAATATATTTATACATTCATTGAATGAATTTACAGCAGATTAAAATTTCGGAACCAAAAAAAATATTTTAAAAAGTGAAGTTTGAGCCGAAAATACGATCGTACGAAAATAGCTTAAAGCGAAAATAGATAAGATAGGGTCTACGAAAATAATATTTATAAAATAACCAGAAACAACGACTACAAGAATAAGATCTACTGCATATAGAATATGTACGAAAATAAAATCTATACTGTACAGTACTCTACGAAAATATATAAGACCCATAGGTTTGAAAATTATGTATGAAAATACTACATGTACGAAAATAAGATCCAATTGATGGTCTATACGAAAATAAGATCTGTAAACAATTAAAATCCGTATATATGAATTGATATTTGTACGAAAATTAGATCTAATTGAAAATATGATCTATGCCAAAATAAGATATATATACGAAAATGAGCTTTGTTAAAAAAATACCTGTATGAAAATACTATACTGTATATGTACGAAAATAAGATCTGTAAAAACAATTACTGCATGGATTGATATATCTGCACGAAAATAAGATCTACTCGTAAACGAAAATAAGATCTCTGCAAAAATAAAATCTGTATGAAAATTATGTTTTCGACAAAGATTTTTACAAATATTTTTATAAGATCTGTGAATATGAAATTTGCATGAAAATGATTTCCTTACGAAAATAAGATCTATACGAAAATAATACAAATGTATTAGTATGAACATAATATCTGTTTCAAAAATGATACGAAAAAGAGATCAAAATCTGTAAGATATCTATAAGAAAATAAGATATCAATATGGAAATGATTTTACCAATATAAAAGATAATTAAAAATACGTGTAGATTCTAATATGAAAATAATATCTATATTAAGTAAAAGAAAGTATATAACTTTATTGCTTTAAGTGCTTTAATTAGATAATGCATAAACAAGTTATTTCTATTGAAATATAATGAATTGAAAATGAATTGAATTGAAATATTTGAGAGAAGGCAAAAACTAATGAAACGTATGACACGTGCACATGACTGTCGGCAGCAATCAATGCGCTAATACGATGATTGGATTATTGGATTTTCGCACTTACCGTAATTGACACACACTTATTAAAGCCCATCATTAAAGGTGTTTATTGGCGATTTATCATAGTCACCAATCAAATTTTCATATAGATATCTTATTTTTTACAGATTTTGTTATCAAAAAGATATATTTTTACACAGATCTTATTTTCGTTAAAGATCTTATTTTATAAAGACATTATTTTCATTTAGAGTCGTTTTTCATATCATTCTGATAAAGATATTATTATCATACAAATATTATTTTCGTATAAATCTTATTCCTATACAGACATTATTTTCGTACAGATCTTAATTATTTTCGTATAAATCTTATTTTCACAAGGATATTATTTTCATACAGCTTTTATTTTCACAGATCTTAAGTCATTTTCGTATAAATCTTATTTTCACAAGGATATTATTTTCATACAGCTTTTATTTTCACAGATCTTATTTTCTTAAAAATCTTAGTAAAAAACAGACATTATTTCATACAGATCTTATTTTCATATAGATCTTATATTCGTGCGTATTATTTTCTTACAGATCTTATTTTTTTCGTATAGATCACATTTTCTATAGGATCTTAAATTATTTTCGTATATATAGTATTTTCATACCGGTATTATTTTTTTACATATATTATTTCCATATGTATCTTATTCTCGTAAGGATATTATTTTCATGCAACTTTCATTTTCACAGATCTTCCATTTGTAAAAATCTTAGTCGAATACAGACAATATTTTCATACAGATCTTATTTTCGTATAGTTTTATTTTCAATAGGATCTTATTTTCGTACATATAGTATTTCCATACAGATGATATTCTCAATTATTTTTGTACGAATATCAATTCATACAGGTTTTGACTTTGAATTGTTTACAGATCTTATTTTCGTACATGTCGTACTTTCATAAATAATTAGTACTGTTATGATTTTATTTTCGTACGGTACATATTCTTATATAGATCTAGATCTTATTTTCGTAGTCGTTGTTTCAGGCTGTTTTTGCAATAGTTCTTTTTTTTTTATTTTGATACTTTTTCACCACAAACATTTCTTGTCTTTTAAGAGAACATTTCATTCTTAATACTTATTTGCAAAATTATTAAAAGTAAAGTTAATACTATTTTAATATAAGTTATGAACCATGTAAATCTTATATATATTATCGTAGATGCCATCTTGGTTATATGTTCATGCGTTCTTACTATACTAAATTTGGAATATTTACCATATTTGCCGCACAAACGTCTAATATTTCATTACAAAAAATTTTATTCTTCATTATTTCATTCAAACAAATCATTTAATAACAGCAAAAATAGTTTTTGATACATTATATCAAAAATAAATCTTATTTTCGCAGACCTGATCGTATTTTCGATTTACGATTTACACGGCAATTCAAGCTATTTTCATACGATAGCATTTTCGGCTCAAACTTCCCTTTATTATTTATTATTTCATTCATACAAATCAATTATTAAGAAACAAAAAATACGTTTTTAATACAGTATATCAAAAAATAAATCTTATTTTCGTAGACCCGATCTTATTTTCGCTTTAACGGCAATTTTGAGCTATTTTAGTATGATAGTATTTTCGGCTCAAACTTAACTTTTTCAAAAAAAATTTGGTTCTGAAATTTTAATTTGCTGTAAAATCATTCAATGAATGCATAAATATATATTTTACATAATTATTTCAACAGATAAATGCACTATTTAAAAAATAAATCTAATTTTCGTAGCCGCGATCTTATTTTCGCGAAAATAGCTTATTTTCGGTATCCATCTATACCCATTACAATGTCAAAATGGAGTAATCAGTAATTTAATTTAATCAAGCATTTTGACAAATAATCATAATTTAATCGATTACAATTGTCAAGTAATGGCCCCATGTCTGCTTTATAGTACTGCAGTAGCCAGTAGTGGTCTAAAACTATTCTAACTTATAAATATGTCCTCGGATTAAATGATTTGCATGTTCTGTGAAATGAGAAAAATGAATGATTCCTAACATTCTTTCTTTATTCTGGGAAGATTACATATCACAAGCAAATCAATAGACGTTATAACCATATAACTGTCATATCGATAAACAAGTCTCAATGAGCAGATAAGTACGAGTTGGATAGGGGGCGAATTTGGCAGATATTTGTGTCATTTCTTACTACATAATGGTAATACTAATACCTCCTTCCTCTCTTTGACCTTTACTCCTGTGTTTCCCATGTTTGTGTGCTTTATTTTGTTGTTTCAAAGGACCTGACCTGTGAATCTGCATTGTTTATTTTTTTGACAGAAAACACGTGTTTTTGTTGCAAGCGGTGTCATCAGAAAGTTATGTCGTGAGATTTAAAATAAAAAATAGTTGCATCAGGTTCACAATAGTTCTATAGCCTATAAAAGAGAAATAAGAAAGGCAATTTTAATAAATGTAAGACATTTGTAACACATTTTCATATATGAAGTGTTATACAAACGTACGATTTTAGATTGTGGTCAGTTGAATCAGGTAAGGAAATATTGGAAGTTGCTCTTTTTCGGATAGACTTTATTTCGTATAAGACATGGCTAGAATCTGTCCGCAGATATATTTAACATTATGATTTTACGCAATATTATTTCTTTCAATATATGTGTCACAGGGTGACGCTTGGAGTTGGAATACCATTTTGCAGCCCTACCAACTGAGCTATCCGGCCGCCTACAGTTACACATCTTCTCCTTCTCCCCTAAATAGTGAACAGTTCTTAACCGTCACATACTCCCCTGCTAAATTGCAATTCGTCCTCAATTTACTCAGGGTTACAGAGAACCCCTCGTTGGGCGACAAATGTTTATAGGGTGAGAAAAAATGTGCAGCTTGACCGAGGATGGGTGCGCTGCACGAGTAACTCTGGAGCATGGTGTTTTTAACCTGTTTTTAGCTGCACTTGATGTTCCCTTCACTCATGTTAATAGTCACAATTGTGCGACGATGCTCCAGAGGGGCCCAGTACATTACCCGGAAGAAGAAGTCTCAAACCCAGGACCCTCGGAATATCGTTTGGGGCTTTACCGGTTCGCGGCTCTACCGACATAGCTATTGGGCCGCTTACACATCTCCCCTAAATAGTGATCAGTTTGTAACTGTGAGATGAGGTATGTTCCTCCAAAAAAAATCACTCAGACCACTTCTACCTAGGGAAATGGTTTACTGTTTTGTTGTAAGGGTTAGAGGGTTAGGATTTTAAAATATGGATATTGCTCCTGTCAGATTCTAAAAGTACTCCATGGACATTCTGAATTAGTAAAATTATAGTCACTACCCCTAGAAAAAATAAAAATGAAAATATTTATATATATATATATATATATATATATATATATATATATATATATATATATATATATATATATATATATATATATATATATATATATATATATATATATATATTTAGTAAAGATATGCAACTTGCTGCTCATTTTTCAGCACTCCTCTTAAAAAAGTTAATGTGAACTCAAGGCTTATAGCTCCAACTTTTTTGCACCAAATTTCAAAATTTTGGTACCAAATGTTAGGGAATTAATTGATTACTGTTAAAGGAAATAAAACTGTCATTTAAATGATTTCAAGTAAAAAGTAAATATATAATCTTGAAGTCCCTGCAAATGTGGCACAACAGAGATGTGACCAATGAAAATGCTCCATACAAAAATATATAGGGAAGTAATTTACTGCACTGGTTACTTTTACAGAAATTGACATAACGAAAAAAAGGTTCATTATAGTTTGGTATGATGATTTGATTGAACATTTGATTTATTAGAAATAACAATTAAAATTTATCACTTTTAAAAGCCCAATACAAAATCTATTCATTCATTTCGAAATAAACTGCTGCTTAGTTCGGTAATTTTCACAAAAAGCCCAGCGGTCATATCTCTGTTGGAGCTCACTTGCTGAGATTCGAGATTAAACATAGCTACTTATTACTTAAAATCAGTGCAATGACAGAGCTCTCTAAGATGCAGATTCAACCTTTGCATGATACTCAATAAATTAAAAAGGGTCCCTTAGTAGACCAACTTATAGATTAAAATAGAAATAGCCCTATGAATGTGATTATTTCATATTTTTGCTTGGGGTTGCCCCCCTAGACCTCCATAGATCATATCATTCTTAGTTTGAGAGGAAAAATAAATATTTACAACTTTATATATTGGTTATATTCAAGTGCTCTTTTCTTCATTCTGTCAATCATTGAATGTGCACAACAGACACTTCAAAAGGTTAAGCGACTCAGGGTCATCATGGCCCTCTTGTTTTAATTATCTCCCTTTATGTTATTATTTTCTGGCTCCTTATATTTTAGCCAGTGTCAAAACATTTCATGTTCCTAAAATGTAAAAATGAAATTAATTCATATTTTTAAATTACCACCATTTCTAATTATCTCTATCGTAATTTCAGAATAAATCGAACAAGTGACTTGCACAGAAAATTCTGTACGGTAAACAATGAAGATCTCAGAGGTGTTAAATTGCAGTTTCTCCTCCTGGTATCCCAGGTTTAAGGATTACACTATCAAAAGGTTAACACTTTTTTTGTAACATATTTGTGATGCTTTCTTAATATGATTTAAGTGAATAATTTTCTGGAGTATACACTTGAATGTATATTAATTCATATTTAATTATGATTTAAATAAAATTTGATAAATTAATGAAAACTGTTATTTATATATAAAGATACAAATGTAATTTGAACTCTGGATTGGAATTATTTATGTATAATATCAGAAACTTGTAAAGCTCTGTGATAATATTAACATTCAGGCATCAAGTGCTATGTTTTTATAGTTTAACTATTATATTTTGTTTTCCATTTGTAGTACACTGTAAGTGCTAAAGATGACATAAAAGTGAAGTATTGTAGGCACCATGTGATACTTTAATGTAACTATGCTTTGAAATATTTCAGAGCTAGTGATGATGATATATTTATTTGTAATTAAGTTTTGATGGTAATTATTCTTCTCCAAAGCATTGTTTAAAGGAGTTTAAGTTTTATTTTGTTTTTTATTTCCAGTCAAATCCTTCCATTGCCACAGGAGTTTGTAGATTACCTTCTTGCTGACCAAGTTGTCCTGCCGGAAGGGTAAGTTTTATATAGGCTATAACTTATATATTATTAAGTACTCAAAAATAGACTGTAAGGTACTACATAGACATTATTCCATTTATGTATGTGATGGTAGACAGGTTAAGGTAGTATCACTGTAATGCTTTCCTGCCAAATAATTATAACATCTGGGAATATCGTAGCAAGTTTGTTATTTTCGGAATGTTATTGTTTTTTTTTTAATCTTGCGCATTTGTTTATTTACAATGTGAAAAATAACATTTCGGAAATGCCCGATTTATTATGATATTGGCCAATGTTAGAAATTTTATTGGTGAGAAAGCATTACAGTAAGACTACCTTAAAATGGAAATATTTTAGACAGTTATATACTTTAATCATTACTCAAAATAGCACACAACAACAAGTTTTAAAATATAACAGCTGATACACAAAAAGGTTATAAGTTAAGTTACTAAATGTCAAACTTGTATTGTCAGGGTGAGAAGAATGTGCATCCCAATTAGGATTCAAGCATAGGGCCCTCAGAGTAATGTTTTGCAGCTCTTTAGCCTGAACTATTTGTTTAATAACACATTTTCTCTCCAATTTATGAAGATTTCTATACCATGATAGATTATCACCATGGCAATTTCTGCTATTATTTTAGGACAGTTGCTATGTCAGCTAGTGACTCCGATACAGAAGACAACAGAAATACTGAGGTAAAGTAACATAATGATGCATGTAGTTAGTTAATTATGCCAATAGTAAACAGTCCACCCAGTGTACACATTGGTGAACTTTGACAAGACTTGGTACAGCTGGGTGAAGTTGTGGCAGAGTGGTTAAGATCTTTGACTTCAAACCACTTGCCTGTAACCTTTGTGGGTTTGAATTCCTACAGGGACTTTGGATTCTTTCATGTGAGGAAGGTATCTAGCTAGCTTATGAAATGTTGGTGGTTCTACTCAGATACCCTGAAATAATGCATAGAGGGACACATGAGGTCTTTCTTTACCAGTAAAGCTGGAAAGTCGCCATGTGAACTTTACTGTGCTGGAGTGACATACATTTAAAACAAAAGAAAATGTTATTAATTTTAGCATTTATATAGTAATATCATTCATCAACTTTTAATTCCATTTTCAAACAGGACAATATCATTATACAAATATAACATGGTAGAGGTTATTAACCAGGTTTTCAATTTTGAAAATCCTGGTTATTAGATTGGGGTATGGCGGGCGGATGGGCGGATGGGCGGATGGGCGGCTGGGCGGATGGGCGGATGGGCGGCTGGGCGGATGGGCGGATGGGCGGGCGGGGCGTCAAACGAAATTGTGTCCGCTCTGTAACTCTTCAACCCTTTGAAGAATTTTGATGAAACTTCAGACAAATGTTTACCACATCAAGATGACGTGCAGAACGCATGTTCCGCATGGCTGGCTCCAAGGTCAAGGTCACAGTGACATTAACATTGAAAATCCTGTCCGCTCTGTAACTCTTCAACCCTTTGAAGAATTTTGATGAAAAACTTCAGACAAAATGTTTACCACATCAAGATGACGTGCAGAACGCATGTTCCGCATGGCTGGCTCCAAGGTCAAGGTCACAGTGACATTAACATTGAAAATCCTGTTTACATGATTTTAACTTGATTTGTCAAAACGAAATTGTGTCTCTGCTCTGTAACTCTTCAACCCTTTGAAAGAATTTTGATGAAACTTCAGACAAATGTTTACCACATCAAGATGACGTGCAGAACGCATGTTCCGCATGGCTGGCTCCAAGGTCAAGGTCACAGTGACATTAACATTGAAAATCCTGTCCGCTCTGTAACTCTTCAACCCTTTGAAGAATTTTTGATGAAACTTCAGACAAATGTTTACCACATCAAGATGACGTGCAGAACGCATGTTCCGCATGGCTGGCTCCAAGGTCAAGGTCACAGTGACATTAACATTGAAAAATCCTGTCCGCTCTGTAACTCTTCAACCCTTTGAAGAATTTTGATGAAAACTTCAGACAAATGTTTACCACATCAAGATGACGTGCAGAACGCATGTTCCGCATGGCTGGCTCCAAGGTCCAAGGTCACAGTGACATTAACATTGAAATCCTGTTTACATGATTTTTAACTTGATTTGTCAAACGAAATTGTGTCCGCTCTGTAACTCTTCAAAACCCTTTGAAGAATTTTGATGAAACTTCAGACAAATGTTTACCACATCAAGATGACGTGCAGAACGCATGTTCCGCATGGCTGGCTCCAAGGTCAAGGTCACAGTGACATTAACATTGAAAATCCTGTCCGCTCTGTAACTCTTCAAACCCCTTTGAAGAATTTTGATGAAACTTCAGACAAATGTTTACCACATCAAGATGACGTGCAGAACGCATGTTCCGCATGGCTGGCTCCAAGGGTCAAGGTCACAGTGACATTAACATTGAAAATCCTGTCCGCTCTGTAACTCTTCAACCCTTTGAAGAAATTTTGATGAAACTTCAGACAAATGTTTACCACATCAAGATGACGTGCAGAACGCATGTTCCGCATGGCTGGCTCCAAGGTGCAAGGTCACAGTGACATTAACATTGAAAATCCTGTTTACATGATTTTAACTTGAATTTGTCAAACGAAATTGTGTCCGCTCTGTAACTCTTCAACCCTTTTGAAGAATTTTGATGAAACTTCAGACAAATTTTTACCACATCAAGATGACGTGCAGAACGCATGTTCCGCATGGCTGGCTCCAAGGTCAAGGTCACAGTGACATTAACATTGAAAATCCTGTCCGCTCTGTAACTCTTCAACCCTTTGAAGAATTTTTGATGAAACTTCAGACAAATGTTTACCACATTCAAGATGACGTGCAGAACGCATGTTCCGCATGGCTGGCTCCAAGGTCAAGGTCACAGTGACATTAACATTGAAAATCCTGTCCGCTCTGTAACTCTTCAACCCTTTGAAGAATTTTGATGAAACTTCAGACAAATGTTTACCACATCAAGATGACGTGCAGAACGCATGTTCCGCATGGCTGGCTCCAAGGTCAAGGTCACAGTGACATTAACATTGAAAATCCTGTTTACATGATTTTAACTTGATTTTGGCAGTCAAAGGTCATATCATCTTTGGAGGTAATTTAAAAAAGATATGATATATTATTTTCATGTCTACTTTGTAACTTGTTTTTCATTATACAGAATTATCAATATAATTATAGTGAACAAATTCTTCTGTGCTGAACTCGTCCTACATTTCTCAACGGATTTTGTTCAAACTTTCACAGAAGCTTTGTCATCAAGCACCCTGGCACATATTGTCGGGGTTTTGTGATTGGATAGTTTTTGACCTAATTATGGCCCTTTGTTTTTTTCCTTATACATAATATTATAGTGAAACACTTCTTCAGTGGCAAATTCCTCCTACATTATTTCATGTTTTACAAATTGCACATAGTTACATTGTTTGTTGCTTGTATTTGTATTTCAAATACAACATATTTATCTACAATGATGGATAATTGAAAACCTGGTTTCATGGCATTGCCATGTTTTCTTTTTTATATTTTGGGCTTGGGATGAAAAATAACCCTGGGAAATATAAAACTTAAAACATGTAATTTTTCAGGATGTTATAGAAATTTGGGGAAAAACAAAATATTTTAAAAATCAAATGGGGAAAATGGTAAAGTTAATACATCAAAGTTATATTTAAAAAAAAAGATGTAAATACATGTATATGCTTGTATATAGTACAAAAACAAATCTTTTAGTGTTAATGATTGAATACTGCTTATTTAAAACAGCACTATGGGGAATGAGTGATCTTACATTTCCTATTATCTCTCACAAACATACTTGATCATACAGAATCTACAATTTTACCTATTTTTTTCATTTGAGGTGCATTGTATCTCCCCTTTGCAGTTTAACCAGTATTGTTATTAACTTAAGAAAAGTTGCTTTGTGAAATTTTTTTAAAAATAAGTCGAGAAAAGAGAAAAAAATTCATATGGAATATTTTATGAATTTGGTCACATTTTAGGTTGAAAAACATATTTTTTGTTTTGCTATGTATTGATATGAGTGATTGATACCTTTATGAACATGATGAATGAACATTGTAGGAAATGTACTACATTCTTCCATACATTATATACAGCTACTTTTCTGTGTTTTCCAGTTTTCTAAGCACCTGTTAGGAGGATATCTTATTTTTCACTACTTCAAAATGGAAACAACATGTGATGCTTGCATGATCAAAACTCCTTATACCTAATATCCATATACTGTAACATAATAAATGTTTAGATGAAGTTAGCATATTTTCTTTTTATTCCCAGGCTCCAAGTTTTCCAGAATTTGAAGTGTTATTGAAGAATACAATCAAAAGATTAGGTGGGCAGGTTTTCCCAAAATTAAATTGGTCAGCTCCCAAGGTAGGTAAACAAAATATTCTTTGTGTAACATACTTAAATATTGTTTCCAATTCTGGCATTCCATAGTTTCAAAATAAATGAAGTAGTTAAAGGACTGAATGAGAGTGACATGCAAGTCAACTAATTAGCCTGGTAAGATGCACTTTTCTATATGTTAACACTTGTTGAAAACTCGCATCTAATGTCAGATATTGATAGGAATTTCCACAAGCACTGTTCTATTGCACCACTAAAGTAAAAAACTCTTTTTTGGTAAGTTGAAATGTCAATAAACACCATTAACAGAGCATGCTACATACATTTAATAAGGATTGGAAATGCTTCTATAACCTTTAAGTAAGGAAATGTTTGTTCACTTGTAGGACAACCATCTTTGAACTATCTATAAATTGACACAATCATGCTTTGTTCTCTGAAGAAGTTGAAATTTTCTGTGAATGTTAAACCAAAGTGTTGTAACTCAAAACCACTTGCCCATAATCCCTTTATTTTGAATCCCAACAGGTATTCTTTCATGTGAGTAAGCTATCAAGCTAGCTTACAGAACATTATTGGTTTTACACAGGTGCTCGTTCATGCTTGAAATAATGCACAGAAGATAACATTTCATCAGTAAAGTTATGACCAATACTGAGTTGGTGCCACATTAAAAAAACAACAAAACAACTTAATCATATAAAATGCTGATTAAAGATAAAGGTAAATAAAATTTTAAGATTGTTAGAACATAATCGTCAACATAATGATGTTATTGTTTCAGGATGCTACATGGATATCATTTGATAGAACATTAAAATGTACATGTACCAGTGATGTCTACCTCCTGTTAAAAAGTTCAGATTTTATATCCCATGATCTCACACAACCGTAAGTGACTGTCGTAAAATTCTCATAACTGTTAGCAAGTTTATTGTATAATATAATTGTGACAATATCCTGTGACTCTTATGTATGTTTATTACTTTACTTTTTTCTCATGAAATGTGACTAAAGTACTCACTTAAAATGAAACATGGTTATACATTAACCATGTTATTCCCTCCCCATATAACTGTATAATTTGCATATACGTTTTGATGCACATGCTACATTCATCTTTGAATCTAAGATAATGAGAGTTTGGTGAAATAGTTTACTCAATGTACAACAATGTTATGGAAAATTACATCCTGGAATCTCAGATATGGGCAGTTTGGTCAAATGTTGCACACAATGTACACCAATGTTACAGAATATGAATGAATGTTTTAAAACTTACGTATTTTCTAAATGTTTGTCGGATGGTTTGTTGGCAAGTTGGAATAGTCTACATGTATAATCCAACACTGTTTTCATATCCTTTTATCGGACTTATGTGTAAGTCTGTAAAAAAATTTGTTTCTTGATTTTTAATGCTTTTTGATATGATATTGCACAGTATGTTATTAATTGTATTTTAACACGCTTTATGTTTATATTACTGTGCATCTGAACTTCATACTTTGCTATAGAATACAAGAACGCAGTCAATATGAAGATATATTTCCTAATTGGGCATCTCTCAAGATAAATGAATGTAGTGTAAATATCAAGCATATTCGACTGTGACTATTTAATATGGGTGATAAATTTACAGGTTTAAACATTGTTGTGATGACGAGAATTTGAAGAACGAGACCAGTGTAAAATACGAGCTAGTTCTGAGGAAGTGGCAGGAGTTGAACCCGGCATATGAATTCAGATGTTTTGTTAAAGATAACAAACTCATTGGTATGGTGTTTCTCTATGAATTTTGTACGTTAACAGGAAATAAAAATTTGTTCCGGAACAGAATATAATTTAAATAAATCTTTACAGGATTGATGAGTACCTCAAGTACTTGGGCATATCTAACAGGTTTGCCAGTTGGATGATTTTGGCTGAGTTATGGCCCTTGAATATAAAACTTAAAAGGCATTTTGGCCTGTTAATTACTTTTGTGTTGCCTGCTACACCGTTGTTGCTGCATATAACAAAGTAGCAAAAACTTACAGGGAGCACTTCTCCATGGTCTGTCTTTCAGTTTGTCCATCTGTCTGTGTGCACAACTGTATGGGATAGGGGGCCATCAAACTGTAAACAGAACAAAAGAGAACAATAGAGTTCATTCCCTAACAAAAAAAGGAAGGGGCAAATGGCTTTAAAGAAAAAAAACCATACATGTAGAAATGGCCCTTTATTCCAATTTTGTCGCACATTTGTTGGTCTGTCATAAAATTTGCTAAATGGACCATCATAGGCGACATGTGATCACCGATTGCTCTTGTTTTATATTTTGTTTTAATTTAGCATGTTGTATACATAGAGGATATTGAATGAGTGTAGGTTTAATACTAAATTTATTGAACGAGTTGAATAAAATCATATTATGCGAGCCTCTGGCGAGCATAATATTGTTTTATTCAACGAGTTCAATAAATTTAGTATTGAATCTACACGAATATAATATTCTATTTATCACATATATAAAATAAGAACGGATAACTGTTAACAAGAGTTATTTTTATTTGACGCGCCTATAGTGTAACGCTGACATTAGCGCGCTTTAACGCTATGTTTATAGTGCAAATGACGTGACGTCAAAGTGTTATTACACTAGTGTAATATCGTCTAGTGTAATATCGTTTTTATTAAATGGCTTTATTACACTCCTGCGCCGCGGTTTATGTGATAAAAATATTTGTTTGTTTACAGTAATCTTGTAATTTTACATAGTATGGAGTGTATGTCAGGTGAAATTTTCATTCTTTTATAATATATTCTGTACTATTACATTACAGGAATATCCCAAAGACATAATGACATGTATTACAAATTTATACCAGAAAACAGACAGGAAATCATTTCAGACATACAGGCATTCTATTACCACATTGTGAAAGACAACTTTCCTGATAAAAGTTGTAAGTATAATTGTTTAATTACAGGATAAACAGTTCTGTATGTTTGTACGACTTCTTTTGTTAGCTACGCTTTTCAAAGAAAAAAAGTGGAGGTATTGTCCTGACCCTTTGGTTGGAGTTGGCATTGGTTAATCTTTTTGTTAAGGTCTATTTTCTTAGAAACTATTATAAATATTGACTTCAAACTAGGTTTACATGTATACACTTTTGCAATATTACTGAAAAGTAAGATGTCCTAGTTTAATTTATCTCAATCAATGGCTTTATTGGAAATAATTGTTCTCACAACTATGTCATTCTTTAATATAATGTTGATTAACATAGCCAAAATTTATTTAGGGCTATAAGATTTAGTTGTCAGTATATTAAATGTATATTTTCCATGTTATATGTACATTCTGTTTTATTATAAAGCTAACTTTGCAGACTTGTTATGACTTAGAGTAGGTAATTTATAATATATGTTTATGATCCATTTCATTTACTACCTTAGATTGGTTATACTTTATATTCTGTAGAGCAAATAAGATCAACAAATAACTTCATCTGATGCTGTTTGTAAAATTTCAGTAGCATTGTTAATGAACTACAATGAAGCTTGACTTTTAGGAATGATCAAGGTGGGGGATATTATGTATGATTTAATATTATATTTATTTTTCTTTCCAGATTGTTTCGATGTATACCGAAGGTGTCAAGTAAGTACATGTATACAAAATGTATTAGTTTTTACAGTAGTATTAACTCTGCTTTTTCCTCTTACCATAATGTTTTCTCCCTTTATCTACTTTTGATTGAGTGATAATTGTGGGCTATTTTTTGTTAAATCACAAGTTTTTCTATTTCGAATAATTAAGGGAAAAAGATTCAATAATCCATATTTTTTGTGTTTATTTTAGGGCAAGTTGCTATTGTTGGATTTTAATCCATTTGGACGTGTGACAGATGGTTTGTTGTATACATGGGAAGAATTAGAGAGTGATGATTTATTACCAGCCGATGACACCCAACATCATGTATTAGTCATTTTACTCTTCTGTCTTCTGAAAATGCTATATTTATTTCACAAAAGCTCTTTAATTTGGTGTTCTGTTTGCAAAATACTCTTATACTCTTCTGTCCTCAGAGGCACATTGAGCCACTGAAATGCTATTATATTTATTTCACAAAAGCTCTTTAATTTGATGTTCTGTTTGCAAAATAACACTTATTGGCATTATAACTTAGCCATCTCTTGCTATTTGGCTTTTAGTGAAGATATAATAATCTAGTAATTTTTATAGGAGACCAAATTGCTAGAAAAACAAATTACTCTCCTAAGATTAACAGCATATAACATTCTAATCTGATTTGTTTTATCAAATTACACACATATAGATATTAAAAGTATATGACGGTGTTCTTGGAGCAATACCTTGCTGGAACCAAAGTGATTAGCATTTGCCTGCAGTATAGAGCCAGGCCAGCTTACACTTTAACATGCACTCTGACTAAACTCTATTGGCTCACCAACTTCAAATCTTCATCTTGATACCCCTATTATTGATAATGGATATTTCCAAAAATGGAAAGTGTACAAAACAAGTTAAGAAATTTAGCAGATTTAAATGTTAGCCAAAATGTTTATTCTAGGTTCCAGAAATGAGATGTGTTGAATCACCGTCTGGAGTTAGATCTAACCCCTATGGAGCATACGCCTTCCCTAAAGATTTTATAGACATTTCTAGTGGTGATGATCCTGCAAAGCTGATACAGTTGTTACAACTGGTAACTATTATATCCTTAATATCATGTAAAATTAGACAAACTGTGTATTGGTATAAAGGCCCCCACGGTTACAGGTTTTTATCAATCGTAAACGTTGAAGATAATTTTTACCGTTTAATCGAAATGACCATATTGTCTTACCAAATATCTTAATTCTATCAATTCTAAGTGATTTTTTTCAAAGTAAAAAATGGTAAATGGGTGTTTACAACCCTCCACACAGCATTACCATGCAATAATGGCTTGTGACATAATAGATTTTTGGTAAAGTTGATTTTCCTTTGATCTTTCAAGAGCGAAATAAGGATACAATGCAGAAAATGTGTGCCAACTCAATTGTGATGAATCCTGAACATTATTTATTTGTACATGTGTTAGAAATAGGAAGTAAGTTATCATTTGGAGACTGGAATACATAAGTGTAGGATAGCACATAGATGTACCACTGTTTAAACAGTATCGTTTCGGTTCTTAGCAATTGTTTCAACGTTTACAAAAAATGTGAAGGTGGGAGCCTTAATTGGTATAACCAGTTACTAAGCTGGTTGAGTAATAATATGATTTAGCTTATTGAGTTTCCATTATTATAGAATAGCTAAAGGAGTATTGAATAATATACCTCATTGTGTATTAATATGATTAGCCCATTGATTACTTGTATAATTTAGCTCATTGTGTATTGATATAATCTAGCCCATCATGTATTGATATAATGTAGCTCATGGAGTATTGATATACTTTAAAGTTATTGAGAATTGATATTTGAAGCATAATGTTGATTGATACAATTTAAGTTGGGTATTGATATGATTTAGTTTATAACTTAGTTTATTGAGTATTGATATAATTTAAGTTAATGGGTATTGATATAATTTTGCTCATTGAGTATTGATATAATTAAACCATAAATTTTTGTTTTAGAAAACACAAGAACAGAATGGAACAGTGTCAAGTGATGAGGAATCTACTGATTATCCTGGGACATGATGATGTATTAGTGCTCTGTGTTTTAAATTTGATGACTTTTATAAAAAAAATTTCCAATATTCTCTAGCAGTGTTCTGAGCAGCCGAGAAGGCTTTTTCCCCTTAAGAAAATAATTGAATAATGGAAGATAGAGGCACTTTCATACCTTAAAATAAATCAGTGTTATGTATTTTGATCCAAAATGTTTCAAGATGTTCTTTTGTAACAAATATTTATATTTTCATCATTTTAAAATGCCAGGGCATTTTTTCTTGATTCTCCCAGTTTTACACAATAATGTCCTCTAAATAACAGTTTAAAACTAAAATTGACTTCTGTAAGAAGTATTAAATGGATAATTACATGAAAGTTAAACATTACAGGTCAGTTAATACTTAAAGTAATATCGCCTGTACAATGTTGGTGAGAACCTTATTCTTCTTACATGTCTAAAATGTCCCAAATCGGTGATGAATGTGATAGTATTACAGTTCTAGTTTTGTCTGTGGCATTTTGTGTCCCAGGGTTTTTTTTTATAGAAAATGGTCTGTGACTAAATACAATAGATATATTTTTGATTCTGTAGACTGTATTTTATTATTTTTCCTTATATTTTGTAAAGATGCCTGCTTTAGATGATCAGAAATCATGTATCACGTGATTGAAAGTTTTACTCAACTACATGTTTATTGGAAGGTAACATGTAGATCGTTCTATTTAACTCCTACCCAAACCATATAAAATGGTAGTGAAAAAAGTAAAGATATTGCAATATTGCAATATGCAGTATTTATTTTTTATACCCCCCCCCCTTTCCGAAGGGCCGCATATAGTAATCACAGTGTTCGTACATCTGGTAATCTTGTTTTATATTCTGCGAGAGATCCATTGACATCAGGGACTACCACTTCTTTTTTATCTGTGAGAAAATTTTGTTATATCATAAATGAGATGCATGATCCAGACAACATGTGTCATCTTGGCAGATTATAAATTCTTCTAGTATTCAGTATATAAAAATGCTCTTTCTAAATCACTGAAAACTTTAGCATTTCTTTTTAAGAAATGTTTTTAGAATATCCAAATGATACATTTCTATCAATATATAAAATATATCATTAAGATGTGCCTAAAATATAGACATATTCACTTTAAAGCCAGACATCTATTAAAGGTATGTAGTGATAAATGTTAAAAAAAATCATTTACACAATACAAATATTACATCAATTCACTCCTCTAAGCAAGTGTTTGTGCAAGTCAATCTCTTTTACAAGTTATAAATAATTAAGTACTACCTATGCAAAATAGCCCTCTGAATAGCAACCACCTTGTTATTTAAGCAACAGTTTCATTTTTTCCCAAAGTAAATTTTCACAAATAAAATTCTGCAGATCAAAACCTCTCCATAGCAACCACAATCTTTGTCTCCAAAAGGGTTGTTGCTATACAGAGGTTGTACTATATAATATTGGCTTGATTAGAGAAATATAATACAGGTTTTTTATTGCTTAATTGACATGCATATATGCAAACATACACCTACAAATACACATACAAATTAATATTTTAAATGTTGCTCTCTGTCGTTTGTTTTATGTTCGATTAGCTTGTAGTAGTTGTTAAATTGAAACATTAAGCCCATAGAAAGTGCTGACTTTCATTTCTTAAAGTCATTTTCTGTTGGTATTTTGTTACATTTTCCGAAACAATACTTATTGATTATATCTTTGAACAATCGTTTGCTGTGTGGCGTTTTTATAGGAGAAAAACTACCTTCTTAGAGTACAGATAACGTTTTGCAACTTTGATATTCATTACTACTTCCTTCACATGTTCAGCATATTACATGCTTTAAATATTCATTATTAAAACATGACACACATAAGTTTGTATTTTCTTCAGATGAAAATTGTATTCATTCTGCGGCTGAAAGTGTCTTTAAAGCGAGAGATTTTAGTGAAACATGAACGCCGGTATGACAGTAATTAATTAGATATGTTGCATGAACTTCCTTAATGTTCTGAAAGTCTTGCCCAATCTAAACACCAAGTGTAATAAGCTTTAGCTGGCCAAAGTCATCGTGACCTCAAAATCTATAGGAAACATCGACTAGTCATGACCCAAGTGCTGCTAAGTCTTGTCCTAACATTTATTCTAAAACAATCTGGCTTTTTAAGAGAAAGCACGCCGCCGAATTTATTTGAAAGCAAGCCGACTAAACTTCATCATACAGCAATCCGGCTTATTTGCATGTAAAAGCAAACCAACTGGCCTTCATTCTAAAGCAATTTGGCTAACCAGTGTAACTCGCATATAAAACCAAGCCGGCTTACCGATCAAAATGGACGCAAACCGACTAAAAACTTCACGAGAAAACAAACCTCCGAAAGTCATTTGAAAGCAAACCGCCAGTCTTTCTGGCATATGAAAGCAAGCCGACTATCTTTATTTTAAAGCAATTTTGCTTTAACTTGCATGTAAAAACAACCCGGGCTAATTTTTCACATGACAGAAAACCGACTAACCTTAACGTGAAAACAAGTCACCAAACATTTTTTTTTAAACGACTGTCAGAGAGTTGATCAAACTAGGATATATGTCTGTATAACGTACGCGTACAAGTATTTCAATGGAAAAACATATATTAGAAGAAAAAAAATGTTACACCAAGTAAGACAGCAAAATTTGAAAAGATACATGTATTTATGGAAGAATTTTTTTTCATTTTTTTTTTAAATAGAAGAATACATATACATGTATTGCAAACAGTTGAAAAGACAAAAATCAACAGCGTAATCATAGATATTGGTGATACATGTAACACAGATAAATTGTGTTGTTCTTACAAAATAAGTTATATACTATTGTTGAAGGTTTTCTAAACTTTAGATTTGTTTAACATGATGTGTGAGTATATAAGACATTATACGTTTTATTAAAGATAACATGTTTTTGTTTTTGTTTGATTTAGGTATGACGTCACACCGACACAGTATGGGTTATGTGGCGACGTTCCAGCTTTACTGGTGGAGGAAGACCTCTGGTGCCCTTCCGTGCATTTTTTTCAGGCAGGAACGGGCACCTGAGTAGAACCAACGACGTTCTGTAAGCTAGCTGCATAACTTCCTCACATGAAAGAATCCAAAGTTTCTGTCGGGATTCGAACCCACAGCGGTGAGGGGCAATCGACCTTAACCACTCGGCCACGGACGTCGCAAGATAACATGTAGATTTGTTAGATCTTCAACTCTGAATCATTTTAGACAGGCCAAGACCTTAGAAGTGATGGCGAAAAAATTTTAATAGTCAAAGTAAAGTACAGAAGGAATTCAAATCTTAGATATGCCAGCGTTCCATGTTCAACAGCGGTCACACCTTTCTTCGTATCATAATCCTCGTTGTCTTGACAACGGTATGCCCTTTGAGTTCTGCAACATCGTTGTACAAATCTGATACGTGCAGGAAGGTCTCTATGTTTAAGTTGACAAACTGGCATTTTGGATATTCGGACCACCACCCTGTTGTGCCACAAGTCGATGAATAGCTATACTCAGTCACAGAAAATCTATGTCCATTCAAACTTCCGAAAACGATTTCCGCATCGCTAGCCATACCTATAATCATTTATATTACTGCTATCATCATGACAACGGGTATAAAAACAAACAAATAAACAAACAAACAAAAACTACGCGTAAATGACCATAATATTTATAATGTTTGCAAAAATATTTATTTTTTTATTTTTTCATTTGATAAAAGTTTATTTCGTTTATCAATAGAACATGTAATTTATTAACTGAAGAAAAGAAGAGAAAAGTAAATATTTTACATTCAATGATGTATAAATTAACTTAAATACTTCTAAAACAAAACAAAAAACAATAACAAAGAACAACAGTAAAACTATGCAAGCAATGATATAAAAATACATGAGGTGATTCAGAAATAACCGGGTTTTCGGCTAATTTAAAATAAAAGGAAACACGCACAAAAACAACAACAAAAGAAGCAAAAACAAGAAAACAAGTCGATGTTAATTAAATAATAAATGACTCCTGCGCGTACCATGATAACTTCGGCAAGAAACCACAAGGTTATGATACAATATTGAGCCGCGTCACGACAAAACCAACATAACGGGTTTGCGACCAGCATGGATCCAGACCAGCCTGCGCATCCGCGCAGTCTGATCAGGATCCATGCTGTTCGCTATCAGTTTCTCTACTTGTTATAGGGTTAAGCGAAGAGCATGGATCCTGATCCGACTGCGCGGATGCGCAGACTGGTCTGGATCACAGACACTTGGGGTTTGGAGCTCAAACGCCTTTAAAATCCAAATAATCGGATGGCTTCGGTCATAGCCGACTGGCACGTTTGAATTTATCGAAAGATTTTGTCAATGAAGGAAAACGGCGATAATCTTGATGTTTATTTCGGCTGTTGCGTTGTTTATATTACCGTTGAAGTTAAAAATTGACCATCATCGTGAAGAATTATATCTTCTGTGTCGATGGACCAAAGGATTATGTGAAAATATTGGAAATGGAATAAAATACATGGTGATTATGACGGTAGGGGTGCGGATTTTTTCCGGCGAACATTTTTATCTTGTGTATTATTATAGATGTTGAAATATGAATTTTTTTCAAAACGGCTTATATTAAGTTTTTTGGATATATATGATCAGTACATGTGCTGGGATTGACAAATATGCATTTTATTTGGATTTTAAAGGCGTTTTGAGCTCCAAACCCCAGGTGTCTGTGGTCTGGATCCATGCTGGTCGCAAACCAATTATGTTGGTTTTGTCGTGACGCGGCATTGGAGATAATCAGGGTCAATATGAGGGAAACAGGTCTAATATTAGGGAAACAGGACCAATATGAGTGAAACAGGGCTAATATTAGAAAAACAGGGTCAATAATGAGGGATACAGGGCTAATAATTTTGTCTCTGTGGCCATTATTTATAAATCATTTTAGGGGACATAAATATGTTGCTACGTGCCAAATTATTTTTTCTGGGCATTGCATGTCTGTTTTTAAACCATAATTAATTCCTCTGACCTACATATGCACCAGACTTGAACCATTTAAATAAAAATTTAAGAGAGATCACTAAAGAAGCTTTGCAGTGAAGTTTGGTCAAAATCTACAAATGTTTCTGGGTAGATGCTGCGGGAAGAAATTATGGATGTAACAAAATGTGCTATCCTCCAAAATAAATGATAAAAGAACAAGAATAACTTACTAGTAAATAAAAAATCTGCATAAAATGATTAAAAGTGAGTATAATAATTAAAAAATATATGTATATCTGTCAAATGCATGGGCACCTGATTTTTCCAGTTGGTGATCTACAGAAAGTATGTAGTCAGTGCCAATAAGTCTAAAATGACCATATTTTTCATGTGCAGTCTCTCCAATCGTAAGTGAAACGTTATACCAAAGTTCAGTTGGATTTTCACTGAGTTCCTGGATATATTTCAAACCTAAAAATATTTAGAAACAAAACATAGAGGTAAGTAATTCGCTTCTTATTGAGGAAAAATGACTTTTTCACAATGTCTGTATAATGTTTGTTTGAAAACAGATTCTCAAAAGGAAAAACAACATGAAATGTAATATTGCTTTACATTAAATACATTGTAAATAAATAAATAAATAAATAAGTTATTGCTTAACATTAGTTTAATTAATTAATTAATTATAAGAGATTCACCTGGAGGGTGAGCTATAATGTATTGACATACCGAGCCAGTATTCGCCATTTACGTCACCAAATCCGGTTGTGTACAGTGAATAGTGCTTTCTAAAATCAACAGACTCGTCAAACCGATTCTGGAAAATCTAAAAATATGTTAAAGGGACTCCACTGAGTTTTGTTTTACATGATGGGACTGAAAATATTGTTTCCAGATAAATGTACTATTTGATGTAGGTTTAGACCACTAACCTATGTGCGACATTTCAGATCATTCGCGCACTTCATTTTTTCCAGAATAATGATTCAAATTGTAAAAAAATAACTCAAAATGAAAAGCGTTTAAACGCTTTTCACTCAAATCGGGCTAAGGAAAGCATAAAAATACGATTTTCAATTTACTTCAAAGTATATTTCTTAACAATCTTTGCATATATTTCTGTTTAAAGTGCCCCAGCTCATTTATGTAAGAAATTCAAATGTTATGTATTTCGGCTTTTAAACCTCAGTGGAGTCCCTTTAAGCCTCGGACATAAAGAGAACTTTTTATGTCCCAGGCTTGATCAAGCTATACAAATGTATAAGATTATAAAGAATTTAGTTTTAAAGATATACTATGCTCAAATTTGATAGTAGAACTATTGATGATTGCTACCCAGTTTCTTTATAAATATAAAATAAATATGTTTTGACTTTACACAAATTTAGAGTAATTATGTTATGTTAAAACAGGGTCTTTCAAATTCTAGTTTAAACTTATACACACTATATATAGGTGGTCACTATATGAATATATGGTGCCATTAAAAAGAACTGGTAGTTTTTTTTGAAGACAAGACCCAACTTAACTTGATTTGATTAGGGAACACAGCTTCTATGCATATAGTTTATTCATTCTTTTACTTATTCAAATTAGACATATTCATATTAAGATTTTTATAGACCTTTTTATATAAATTTCTGTTATTAAAATATTTTACTCAATGATGAGCATATATAGTATATCTTTAAATAAGCTATTTGAGACATTTTTTTTTAACTTTAAATAAAAAATAAATTATTATCTCATTGGAGGCCCGTCCAAAGAAAATAGAAAAAGCTATAATCACCGTGAGATTTTTTCCGCAGATAAATAATTAAAAAGTCATGTATAATTATGATAAAGTCCAAACGTTTCGCAACGTCCCTAATTTCCTACGCAGTGATCTCCCCTTATCGGTCTGCCAAGGGAGGTAATAAAGGACTTTTCAACATCATGTTTATTTAAATATTAATGATTGGTGATAAAAACATACCGTCCAGCCCCCGCCGTCTGTTGACATGTCACAGTATACTTGTTTTCTTTCCGAGTTACGGAGTCTTATTTCATAAACACCACTTTCGGCAGTTATGTCCCTTTGCAATATATCCAAACAATCGATGTAGAAATCTATATTAATAATAAATAACAATAAAAATAACATTTAAAATAATAAAAATAATAATAATAACAAAAATAATAATAATAAAGGTTTTATTTAACGAAAGAAGTCATCTTAGACGAGGCCCTCAGCAAGGAACAAAATAAATTTTATATATTCAAACTATTGAAATACATAAATGTTACATTGATGTGCAATAATATCTCAAATATAAGGTTTTAAAATTGTTTACAAATGTAGCAGACTTTACATTATCAGCAAATACAGATTCATAATAACAAAATACTGACGAAACATGATCGAGATGTGGTAAAATATATGGTGGCTGATTTGGTACATTGCGTTGTCGATAGCGACAATGCAACCTATATCGTTATCGTCTTGTCGCTAGCGTCAACACAACAAAGCGCCAAACGGCGCGTTGTCGCGCTGTCGTCTTGTCGCCCTGTCCCTAGCGAAGCACGCCAAACGGCACGTTGTCGTTCGGCGCGTTATCGCTCTGTCGCTTGTCTTATAAGCCAATCCTTCGATTTGAACCGAGCAACAATGTGACATCGCGACAACACGGCGCACGACAACCCGCTGTTTGGCGTACATCGTTAGCGACAGGACGACAAGACGAAAGTCCGACAACGCGCTGTTTGGCGCTTTGTCCTGTTGTCGCTAGCGCCAACACGACGCACAAAAGCGTACCAAATCAGCCACCATAAAAATATATGCATTGTAAAACATTTCACGTACAGGTATAGATATGAATACTTTTATACGAGATAATAAATGTAACAATGAGTTGCATTTTTAAAGAATATTATCAATATGGCTTTGTCAAGACAATGTGTTATTAATTGAATTACATCCTGTAATCCTTCTTTTTATTCACATGGTATGAAATAGAATATTGCAGTTTTTTCCTCATGTATGATACAAGTAACAAGAAGTATCTTTAAAAGGATATCCAGACGAGGTAAAACTGCATATACGTTTCAAAAATTGTTTTACTAATTTTAGAATGGCCAATGAGATTTCTAAGATTTCAGTTTCTAATTTAGAAAAGGACCAATGAAAATCCAACTTATATTTAGTCCTTTTCTGAATTTTTTACAGAAGTCAAACTGTTTTCAGACGAACTTGACAAAAAAAGAATCAAATTGCTATTGTTTTGTCTTCCTACATTCTAAAAATCGTGTACGATTGATATAAGTGACTATCAATTCAGCGTATTTCGTTTCATATAAAAAAGAAGTATCGCAAGAACTCATATTTATACGGTAGAAGAATATGACCATTGGCTATCTAAACATTTCACACATTCATCTCTATTTTTATGTGTCATGTTTAAACAATTACATGCAATGTCAAAGTCATCATTTGGTTCTGAAAGGAGCTCCACTAGTTAAGGTTCAAAAAAGCCCAAAACATAAAATTGAAAAAAAAAATACTTTCATTGACCAATTGAAATGATATGATACCCAAAATCAAATTGAAAATAGATATTTAGCGCGATTCTTAATGCGATTTGAGTTAATAAGAGTTTTGACGGTTATCATTTTTTTTTTGGTCATTTTGCATCATAAAATAGCTGAAAATGTTTGGAATGGTCAGAAAGTTTGCATTTAAGTCAGCAATGTTGATACCAGGCTAGGTATCCGATGTAATTGGCCAACAATATCATTTCAAATATTTTCAAAGGGTCCGATATCAAGGTCGACTTCTACAGAATAACTGATTCTCTGAAATGGGCAAAACTGTATATAAAATAATACATGTATAATTAGTCTGACTTACCTCTGATTGCATATTGTACAGATCCGGTCGTTGTCGACATTGGTGCACCTTTCACAAACACCGGACATCCAGTGCATGTCCGATTTTCTGGTTGATAGAAGAAAGACGTACAGTTCCCATTCTTGTTACACATTTTGCTGCATGCAAATACGTCAGGGACTTCGTATGCGAGACATTGTCCTTCTTCCGGAAAACATCTTGGCTGGACGGATTTTGCCTCGAATTCATACTTCGTCCAGGAAATGTCGTCTGCCAATATGATACTAAGCGCGTTCATGAAAATCCAAACAAATGATATGATGACACCATTTGCGTTAATATCTTTCTTTTTCGACATTTTTGCCTCAAGATCTCAAGATACCGAAAGTGGAGACGACAAGGAAAATACTGTTATCAGGCTTTTAAAAAAGTAGGTGTTTTTTATCAAACATTTTTGTAAAGAGATTGTTAATGGAACTTTAAAATTATGTCAAAGAACCCTTTCACTTTACATCATTTTTGCTATTCAGAACATGTCAAATTTCAAAAGTATGACGTTCGTATTTTTCACGGAATTGTGAATAATTAAGTGCATAAGTATGCATCTTACACTTTGTAACGTTTCATTCCTTAAGAAGACGTGGTATTAAGTTTCCCTTTAAAATGTAAAAATTTTGCTGAATATGAACTGGGCTTTTTCTGATAAAAATGGTGACTGATTTACGTCATGTCGTGTGATCGCTTCTTTGCCTCCAAAATGTAAAAAATACATTTAGTTTTTCCGATAATACTAGAATGGCATTGAACTATGTTTTGACGCGTATGCAGGGTATTGTAGTTGTTTGGCAAATGCAGTAGGAAACGATGCCATTGCCTTCCAAAAAATAACTGGCAAATGTATGCACTACTATATTTTACAACGTAAGTGAAATGGCATAATTTTATACGCATTATAAAAATCTTTTTGCTTTGTTTTTATCTTTTATTTAATTGTATGCACAAAAAGACAAACATAAATGTCGGCATGTCATCATTCCTTTTCAACAGCTGCCGAAATACTTTACCATAAGCACATCATTTGAGCTGCAAAATATAATAAAATAATTATATAAATAGTCTATACAAAGTTATTTTATTTCATTAACATTGAAACGTCTTAGGCCCTTTAACGCTTACATTGATAATGATTTTCCTATGCCACTGACTGGAAAGTCAACCTGGATAGTCTTTAATTAAAAATTAAAAATAGAGCTATGACGATTAAACAGCACGCTTCCAGATTCATGTTAATTTGCATTAAAGTTTGGAAATGTATTTAAAAAAAGTTTTAAAAAATGTGAGGTGAACAAATAAAGTAATTTACATATTGCAATCGGCGCTTACAATGCACGAAAATTACCAAAAGGAGATCAACATATGCAAAAATAGCCTTTACTGCGCTAATAACGCAGTAGAAATATGGTGATAAAATACTGCAAAATCATTGTTAATAATTGAATAATGCATTAACAAACATCATTATATAAACTATTTGATTATTTAAACCTAATTAAGTGTTTTAAGTGATACCTTGCGTGGTCATGAATGAATCAGTCGTCGGGCGATTTTTTGCCGAGTGGATTTTACAGAAAGAATTGAACGGATCAGGTGGTCGCCGCCCGATCCGTACGGCGCCTGTGCGATTTAAAAGTGAATCGGACAGTTGCCGCGCGGGCGCCGGGCGACAATGACTTTACATTTAATGATATCCTAGATAAATCAGCCAGTTGTAATTATGCCAGCAAAGAAGTCAGCTGCCAAAGCCAAGGGGAAGGTCAAGGAGTTGGTCTTGTTGTTGACAACGAGTCACCAACGGCCAGTATCGAGGCCGTAGAAGGCGAAAATCAATCAGACATTCGCAAGGACATTGAAGAAAAAATTCATGTTTACTAGTATTCAAAAGAAATTCACAAATATATTTTTGAGGCAATTACAACTTCTTCAAGCTGAAATTACAACAAACACAAGCAGCCCGGTCGCCGGATGACAAAACTTAACCGCCCGGTGCCTGTACATGAATCGTCAGGGTACTGGGCGATAATCGTTTGACTACTTGTCTCTATTCAGGCACCGGGCGATAAAAAATCATCGCCCGGTCGCCGCCTAGCGACCGAGCGATGTCCGCTCGATGATATTTATACTCAGTGACCCCAAAAATTATCGTCCGGCCGCCGTTAGCTTTTAAGTATTACTTAAAACTCGAAGGCGCCCGCCCGATGAGCAAAATTTTCAGCTGCTGCCGTCCGATAGTCACTGCCGCCGGACGGACGCCAGCCGATATTGCGATTTTTTGAAGAAACAGACGCCGCCCGGCGGCATTTTCTTATTTGTGACCTAGGCTTAATTTGATGTTGCACAAGTTCTTCATATAAACAATTACATTTGTCACATCTCCAGGCATATTTTTAGAGACAAAGCGCGATATTATGTACATGTTTTTTGTTTTTTTGTTGTTGTTTTTTGCAAAGGGAAAGTAGTCGAGGGTTATTCAAGACATACTCCATAACGTGCAACGGTTATCCCCATTTGTGACGCAACGCCGCTAAATGTCGCACCAATACCGCTAAATGTCGCAAATGCCGCTAAATGTCGCAAAGTCATTTGCCGTTAAATGTCGCAATGTTATTGCAGACAAGTACGGTTATACAACGATGATTGACGGTGGTGTAACGACCTCATGCCGATACAGGAAATTTAAAGAACAGGAATATATAAACTTGAAGTGCTACTTTGGATCATTTTGTTTAGAGAAGGAACACGAGCATGGACAATTTGTTAAATGAGAGAAGGAAAAATTCTTCAGCCGGTGCATTTTCAGCTTCAGGTACCTCAACCTCTGAAGGTGTTGTAGACACAGTTTTTTTTCTAACTTCCATCCCCTTTCCTTCGGATGGCATCTCTGCTGTCTTTTTACCAAATGACTGATGTCAACGTGGTCTCATAAACTTGAACAGGAAGCATCGTGCATTACCAGGGCGTCACCGGCACAGTACCGGCATCACCAATAGCATTACCGTGGCAAAAACGGCGATGGTCGGGATAGAACGTGATGAAACCGTGTCTAGTCGGGTTTCCACCGGAATCAAACGGGAATACACCGATTTAGCATCGGCGCTTATCGTATATATCCGGTGCTATATCGGGTTCTGAACCGGGAATACACCTGGGCTCTGTCGGGGATGTGTAAAACGCAATTTGATTTCTCAGAAAAACACCACGGAACACCTCGGTTCACCAGCTTAAGACACAGTAGCGATACCGTGGCCATTACCGGGACAGTGTTAATTTGGGCTTTATCAAACGGAACCTGCAACATTTTCAATTTTGCCGTTTTTGGACTTTCTTTAGGGGTTCTTTTTTCTCTATTTTATCAATGACTGATGTTCCTCAACACACATCTGAACAACTTAAGTATTCAAGGAAAATATAGCACTCAAACCCACTGATCCGGGGCCCAAAGACCAAACAATTTTCATACAGTAAACCAGTGACATAACAATTAAGCTGATGCTTATGAAAGATTATACTTGAATGTCGAATATGATATCATTTAATTGTGGTTACTTTGTTTCGCTAATATGTTTGTTAATACAACCGCAGCCAATGCATTTAAATTTGATAGACTACAATGTACAGTTAATTTTCAACATGATAAAAGTTCAAATCTTATGTTTACTTGTAGCGTATCGTTAGTTAGGAGCTGATTTTATTAATCAGGTTGCTCTAATAATTAATGTACATGCGGTTGTTATCTATCTTCCGATAATGTCAAAACCCCTCGCGGGGACGTAAAAAATGGTTAACTTGGGTTGACATTGCCTTGTTTTGTTCAAAATGTTCAACGGGTTTCCAAATGCAATCACTTATGACTTGCATACTTAAGGGAATTAGGCGGCGGAAACTGATATGTGTTTGATGTTTTGATATGATTGTATATCATATGTCATTACTTTCAGCTATTTGTTTAACACAATATTTGCATTTATAGACCTTTTTACACGCGCGGGGCCGGGTTTTATTTAAAAACGAACCCGAATTTAAATTTTCCCCGGGGGCATGGAAACTGGTGGGGAAGAAAAGCTTTTTGCCCCACAAAAGAAATTTGTAGATCGAAGTTTAAAAGCAATTTCCCAAATAAGTTTTAAAGGGGAAAAAGGTAGAAAAAATTTTTAAAAAAGCTTTTTAAAAAATATAGAAAAGATGAAATTTATAGCTTTGTGGCGAAAAAAATGCCATAAAAGGCCCTGGAAAAAACACTGAGATCATTTTTTTAAAGGGAAAATATTTGGGAAAAATCTCATTAGCAAAAGAAAAATCAACTTATTTGCTGGTTTAAAAAGTTTCCCTTTTTAAAAAAAAAAGAAATTTTTTATAACCCTGAAATGGAGGGTTAAAATTTCGAAAAAATTATCGAACCCGGTTTATAATGCATTTTTGGGGGAAACGTTCAAAAATTTCCCGATTAGATACTTTATCCGATTCGCCTGTGATGCAAACAGAAAATTTTTAGCCACATAAATAGATTTTAAAAAAAAAATTTTTTTTTTTTTTCTTCAAAATTTTGACAAGTTAAGATGGTTTGTTTGGAAAAGATATAACACACATTTTATCCGCTTCTTCGTAATACATGTAATTTTTAATAATGCACGTCACGCAATTTTTCTCTTCTCAAAATCCATAAACATGATCGGTATATTTAAAAGTTACATAAATTACAATTTTAATAAGCGTAACTGATTATCTATATCATGATATTTAAACGTCCGGTTGAATGAACAAACGTTCGCGGTGCCAATCTGTTTGACACTTGCCGCCTGACCAATCCAGTTATTCAAAGGAAGTGTACAATACAAATTGTGTAATATTATGTAATACAGGGTAATAAAATTTTATCTTTAACACCCTGCTGTATCAATTTAAATTACTGATGGAACAGTCGTCTAATGACACCTTAAACAAAGACATGTGTGTGCCCGTTTTGACCATTGAATTATTACTCCCGCACATTTTCGTAGATCTGTTAAAAAAATAAATTCACGTTTTCAGTACTTACCGCCCTTTAATTTATCCCCAAAATTAAAATTTTTTGGGTGACATTTAAAACGAAAAAACGCAAACTAAATTAAAACCCCTTTAAAATTTTGATAAACTGTAGAAAATCGTTATTGCTTTGGTTTTTTAAAGCGAATGGCATGCGCGAAAAAACAACAATTTTGTTGCTATGGAAAAAACGTATTGTTAAAAAAGGGTTTTTATCAAAAGGTTTGAAGGGGGGCCCCCGTGGAAAAATTTACGCTACTATTTTCTCCCGAGAAAAAGAAATTCCTTTTTTTATTAAAGGGAAAAACTAAAAGTGTCGGGTTGGGTTTAACCCCTTTTTTGGTTTTTTTATTATTTTTTTTGCCCTTTTTAAACCCTTTTTTTCCCGGCTTATTGCTCAAAAATTTTAAACATATTTTACCTTTAAAAAAAAAAA